CATATACCTTAAATCTTTTTTCAAAATTGCGATTCGAAATATATTAGAAGATTTCAAAGTTTAACCCTAAAAATAGTTAGCTGACCTTCTTTTCCTATAAATATGTAAGTCTACTACCATGTTGACTACTCACTAATTTTTCAAACTCTCCGTAAGCTTTTCCTATTCCGCTTTCATTTCTAACAATTTATATTGCCTCTATGATAAAATTTTACATTGAATCAATTCTGTTTTACTATAACACTACCTTTTTGTTCTTTTGTGTTTACGGTTAAAAGCTGGGTTTGAGGAGAATTATTCCACTGTTGGTGACTTGGTGTTAATCAAATCATTTTGAGTAGAAAAATCCAGTTTCTTTTAATTGCAGAGATTCTATATGAACTAACAGTCTAACACCAATTAGACTCAATAAGAGAAGGTAAATATGCATTTAGCACTAACCTTAATCTCACTAACCTTTTACATATAGATTTCTGAATAGCTCCAACCAGAAAATGTGATAGCCTCCTCCATATTCTTATGTTACTTCAAATGAAGGTTTACCTGAATACATTTAGTTTTGTTTATTACATGATTATGATGATTTGGTAATAGCTATTGTTTTCTAATAATCGCATCAGTTTTTTTTTCCTTTGTTTATCCTCCTTCTGTGAACATCATTAAACAAAATTGTAAACTGAAATCTATATAGAAACTTAATTAACTAGAACTCTTTCCATTTAACACTATAGTGTTACAAATTTATGGGATTCAAAAAATGGTACGATACACCGGAAATTATATGTTCATATTGCTTCTAATATATTTCAAGTTAAAACTACAGTAAATCCAATTCGTATTCGTTGAAAAATTAAGTAAAAAACAAAATTTGGATATTCAATTGATAATATTTACCCATAGAAGATCTCGCTTCTTGACAATCTTTGGAGAAAAACACTATTCAATCATAAAGTTTTACAAATTGGGATTTGAATCTACATATAAAAAATCAGTAGAAGTATAGATCTGATTTAAAAATTTAGAGATTGGGTTTACCTCTTTCAAGAATTCAAAATTTGCAAAGCACGGAATATAAACGGAGACGAAATAGCTGAATTGTAATCGAGATCTTGGCAATTGATTCTTCGATCTAGCTAGGTTCTTAATTTTGTTCGGTGGGTTTTTTTTAAGATAAACCAAACAAATAAATTAATATTCATTAATATACTAAATAATATTAGTTTACTTGAACGAAAATATAAGATGGGTTAAAGACCCTTTAAAATTGGGTCAACATTAACATTTTACCCAGCCCACAAAAAAATTTGCTGCCTTGACTATTGGGTCATTAATTTATTTTTCCGGTTAAAAGGTTGCAGACCAAATAGCAATTTATAAAAAGTTATGATGCATTACCAAATATTTAATTAACAAATTTTAAATATCACATTCTTTCAAATTTTAACATTTTTATTATAACTTATTCCCAAATAAATTCTCCACTGTTCAACTTTTTGTAATTGCACCAAACTATATATTTAAAATAAACAGAAACAATTATGTAAATCTTATGCTAATAATTTTAAAAACTCACCTTTCGATTCTAGATTTAAAATTAATCAAACAAAAAATGAAAATTTATGTATCAACTTATTTTTAAAACATAAAACATAATTTTACAATTATTATGGTAAGTTTATAATATATGCTATTATATAATTCACTAATCACAAAAAAAAATATTGATACAAACTTTATGCGAACACATTAATTAAAACATTTTCCCCGCACGAATGTGCGGGTCAGGATCTAGTATACAACTTAAATTGCGTGGAATATGAAAAAGAGGGAAAATAGCTTGAAATTTTCTACAGATAGTTAACTATATATTTAATTTTCACTTAAATAATTTATTTGGATTTTAATCATTGGAATCTAACGTGTTTTACGTGAACAAACAACAAAATGTTTAAATATCATCTTAATAAATAAATATATATGAAAATAATATATATATATATATATATAACTTTATTGTTATTTAATATTTTATCGGACCATTTGATTTTCTTACACTACTATAACTTATGCATATATATATATATATATATATATATATATATATATATGTATGTGTGTCTACATATTCATACGTATAGCGTGACTACACATACGTATGCGTGTCTTCATATTCATATTCAGTTAATTCTAACAATTTTGTGTTTTGATATGAAAATCATCATATTCAATATTTTGTAGGAGTTTTTTTCAGCATTTTACAGTTAATATTATTTATTCTCATTAATGTTAAAAACAATTCTTTCAACTGTGTATGATTATTAGGATAGTAGATAATTAATTGTGAGGCTTATTTGAATATATGGATTAAATTAAGATATGTACACCTTTTTACGATGAGATTTTTTTTGTTCTTTTACCCAATGGCATTTCATGTAAAATTTAGAAAATTCATGTCTTCATGTCATTAAGTGAATAATGGTTCCCAGTTCATAGTATAGATGGTCAAAACAATGTAGTTTTAATAACATATACATAGTCTAATACATGTTAAAAATCTACAGAGAGATACTTCGTTTGGTTGACTTGCATTTTTGGCAAATTGGGATGTTTTTTCCGCCATCTGCTACATTTTTGGCAAATTGGGATGTTTTTTCCGCCATCTGCTACATTTTATCATCATATATATGTGATCTAATCTTATTACTAATAATGATCAATCTATAAGATCTAACTACATGTTATACATGCGATTATGATGAAGGATTCCATAAACAATTCCACGACATTCAGCTCTCCCTGCATTAATCGGTTCTCCTATTGACGATTTTACTTGGATCATACCAACGATGGATAATCTTTACCCATAAGACTCGAGACCACAACGATGGATAATCTTTACCTCTAACACTCGAGACCACATCGGAAAGCACTGTATGTAGCATCATTAATCTTCAAAGAAGTACATTTTCTAGGAATCGAATCCCCACACCTAGTATAACATCCTGTCAAATGGTCAAAGGGGGTTCCACTACAAATTAGGATTAAATTGTAAGAAATAAAGACATATAGAAGTTTTTTTTTTTGTGTAGAATACCCTATTCTAGTTGAGTTTCTTGCCTTGATAGCAAGATATGTATTTGATTTGGTATATTTACCTCCTGAAAGTCTAAAAACCCACTGCTATTTCTCGATCATCTACTAATGCAAAATATTGAGTCTTGGTTACCTTCGGTAATATCATATGGTTCCACTATCACATCCTGTATTTTACAGATTATCTTTCTTCAAATTTGGTTCTCTTTCTGAAAGTACATTTTTTCATATCGAATTCCATAGAAAAATCAAGCACATCGAAATTGACTACAATATTGCAAGGGAAAGCTGTAATCTAGTAATATATCATGGTTTTTACGGTTCTCAGCCATGATATTGTTTTTAGTCTTTTTCTTATTTCTAGAGTCTTTTTTGAGTCTTTTGCATGTGCAGATAATGGAATGTTTTGAAGAGAAACCAAAGAAATTAAGCTGAAGGAACGAATCTGGAATTGGATCAAGGAGTGAGTGTCGATCGACAATCACTTGGTGTCGCTCGACACCTTAGTCGACGTCAGCCCAGAGAAGTCTCGACAACTTAACGAGTTTTGAAGAATTACAACCAAGTCCCTGAACGTTTTAAACACTGATAAATAGATTTTTGGGCCATTATTTAGACTCTTTTTACTTTGCAATTCTTTTGAAATTTTGAGAGCTTAAACCTTTTGTGAGAGAATTGGAGAGAGCTTGGATTCAGAATTCAAAACTCTGTAGAGAGGAGATCTTTCTTAACTTTAATCTCTATTTGATTTCTTTTATGCTTTCTATTCATAAAATGTTTTATGTTTCTATGATCATGTCTGAGTAGTCTACTTATTAGGATTAAGGATTCTCAATAGGGATTTAGATGAATTGTTAGATCTAATAAACTGTTAGGATAAATCCATAGAGTTCTTCACTTATATATGATTGTTCTTAATACGTATTATAGAGTAGCTAACTAGAATCTGACCTTAGGGTTAATTAGCAGGAGAGTGTAATTTTCCCTGAACGATCTTAGGTGAGAAAAAATCTTTATTCTCAAAGAGGTTTGGTTTAGGTATTTTTTTGAACATATTGAACCTGATTTAAATACTTGTTTAGAAGTAGAATTCAAAACAAGAGTTGGAATCCTAGATTTTAGACATAGTTAACCAAAATAAACAAGAGTTGATTGGTTTAATTTCGTGATTTGAGTTCTAAAACGGTTCTTAATAAATCCTAACCCAGTAATTAATTTATCTACAATTCTGATATTTCCGGAGAAATTCACTAAACCTGACGTTTTTCCCATCTGATTCACAACCGATTTTAATTGCACTTTCTCGTTTTAATTTACTATAATTCGTTTAGCTTGATTTTGAGACTTAGAATCTTCTGTGTGAATAAAACAACTTTGAGAGAGTGGTCTTAAGGTTAATTTGACTCGTATCATCGAGTATCCTCTCTGTTCTGACCAAACCTAGCTTGTTCTTTGCTACTCAATTTCAGAGTCTAATTGGCAATATGGACATTTCGAACATCTTCGCCATCTTTAAGGCATGAGAATATACACAGGTTTAGTGATTTGTTAAGTTTTGTTAGCAGGTTTAACATTTAGTTAGACCCGGTTAAGCTTATTAAATATGTATATAAACATTGTAAATGAAATTTGTTATGAAAATAATGAAAAGATAAATCATTTCACAAATTCTTTTTCTTCTTCATCAAGCTTTTCTCCTCTGTTTTCTATCTATCTTTCCAAGAATCCCTATAGTTCATAAAGAAGAGGCAAGAGATCATTGAGTCTACACAATTCACGGTTATATGATAGGATATTTATGCAGAGATCCAAATGTTACACTTACTCTCATGGACTTGCACACTTTTTGGAATCAACCAAGAGATGCAAGAAAAAAAAAAAAAACTAAAAGAGTTTATTACACAAGCCAGTTTGAGATTATTTCATTGACCAGTTTTAAACTGCACCGTAGTTCTAGTTTCTAACCATATGCACAGGGAACTAAGGATCGGACTGGATCGATATGATTTGACCTAAATACCCCTTGCACCCGGGACATCGATCCACTCGAGCTGTAGCTCAACCTCTCCACACTCCACATGCTGGAGTCTAAGAAACATATTCTGGACAATCTTGCCTTGGTTTAACACAATGTGGCTCTCTTCAGACAAACAATTTTTTCTGCTTGGCTCTATCTTCCTTATTATGGTCCCACTAGGAAGTCCTGGTCCGAGCTGATGGCAGAATTTAATAGCTTCAAGAAATGGAGCAATGTGAAACTCGGCTTCTCCCATCTTGTCATCCGCGGAGAATAAGTCATAATCGTAAACCGTCTGGCATCATAATTCCATCCATTTATCATTCTGTTTCAACAATCATGCTAAAATAAATGCAAGAATCACTTACAAGTTTAATCGGGAGATTCGGATCCGTCACGGAAAGTGTCAAGTCGTCGTTCCACTCAGGGTTTACACTGTGTTTCACCACTCGTGTTTTCAGCTTCTTCATTACATAAGTAAAAAACACATCACAAACAAAAGATTATGGACTAAATCATAGTACAGAATCAAGAACTATCAAATAAGCCAAAAGACATCACAAACAAAAGAACCAATTAAGAACTAGCCAATGCTTAAGGTAATTCAAAAGGCGACAACACAAGCAATCATTTCGTGGTGGAACCAGAAGGGATTGATGATGACATCAAAAAATTGATGGCTTAACCAATATTCCAATGTTCATAAAGATCACATGTACAAGGACCCACTAATATATGAAATAAAGCAAAAGTCTTCTTCTCCATTTACAAATTACATGTATGCAAATTTTTCAATTATATAACTCAACTCTATTCAGAGAAGATATTAACTGGTTATTAATTTGGATTAGGTTCAGACAGCTATAGCTAATACTATTCAGACATATACCAAATCAAAAGTCAAAGACTAATTCACATTAGCTTATAAAATTAGGTATAACTAACTATGTGATGTAAACTCTCAAAAACTCCAATCCATTATTGATAACCAAATCTTGATTAAACTCAACAACTTAAATCTAAGTTCTTGATGATTATCTTTGAGATCTAACATAAAGAGTCAATAATCCACTCTCAAATCACAAAAGACCTCATTGAGTTTCACCCTCTCTTTTTCTAACCACCAACAGTTCAATAAACGGATCAGATTCTACTAGATGCATCACCAGATTTAATCAAAGATGCAAAATTACTTAGAAAACAGAGAATTGGCCAAAATGGTAGAGAATAAATTATGGGATTTGAGGATGTTTTAGTTACCTGTTTACCGGAGTGAACAACGACGTAAGGATCACTGCTAGAGATATCTCTAATGGCAAGATTCACACCTCTCTTCACATGAATTCTCAGAAGACCCAATAGATTCTCCATAGCTTTTTTGTTTTTCTTGTCAAGTTGGTAACGAAACTGTGACTTGGAATTTAGAAAGCTGATGAGGTTTTGGTCTTATTTTATACACTCGGAATTAATTTTGGGGAATTATCTTTTATTTTTCCAAGGAAAATTATATTGTTTATTAGTGTACGTCGAGACACCTCTTGTCTTGTCTTTTTTGGTGGACTATTTAAGACAAGGTAAGAAGAAGGTGCGTATAAACTACTGGCTCCTTTCACAACCTTAATACATTTTTTTTTTCTCAACAATTTTATATTAAAAAAAATTCTAAAATTAATACAAATTTTGGATTTATTTCCACTGTTCAATTTTTTTGAACTATTATCCACTTGTGTTTTTCGTTTTGGTTATTTAAATATTTATAATATTCGTCTTCTCGAATTTTTAGTTTTCAATTTTAATTTCGAGAATTACAGTTTTCCGGAAAATCCTATAAAAAATAGTTAGAGAATTCAGAATTTTAGATATATGAGATAGGAGTTAGAGTCGGTAAATTATATTCCTCTGATTTGGAATTTTAAAAATCATTTTAAATTATTATCAGTTAATTAAATAACAAAGGAGATACGAGTTAGACGACTTTAGATATAGTTTAATTAAATTGATTTGATGATGGGGTTAGTCAATGGTTAATGGGTATTTTACCTACTATATTTAAAGATTCTTTGTCGTATTGATTGACCAAGACTCTCAATTATTCGTCTTAATGATGCAGCTAATTTGAAAGTTATTTAATTACGCCACCTCTCACGCCAAATTTGGATTTGAATACCAAATTAGAATTTGGTGCATTATTCATGTTAGATCGATGATTCAGATCAGATCCGGTCAACTCTTTTTTGATTTTTTTCCCTTAAACTACAGAGGCTCGTGTATTTGATTTCAATCGCCATTTCTATTTGACTTTTGCATATTTGAGTTTACCATTTTAAGAGTTTTTCTTTAATTATTGTATTTTCTATATTAAATTTTCAGGCAACTAACATAAGTTGGTAAATATCAAAAATATATTATGGACCAATTTTAATGTATTTTCGAAGGTTTTTAAAATTTAAGCAACTAACAAAAGTGGTTCAATTTTTAAGTTTTAAATGCGAAATTGACTTATCTAAGAATAGTCATCCATCATCATCATCTTCTCTGGAATTACCAATTTTATTTTTCTTTCAGTTCATATCGTTTTCGGATTATAAATAAAATAAAATAGAATTATTATTCGTTTAAACAACGGAACTTTCATTCATAACTCTTAAGAACTTATTTTATATATAGAAAATCCTAATACTCCAATAAAAATTACAATTAATGAACGTATATTGTTGGATATAAACCAACGTCTCACATCGGAGGTTTAGAAAAGAATTGTCTAATATATAATTTAAGTCCAACTCCAATTAGAATAAGGTCTTTTGGGAAAGAGCCCAATAATAAATCCGCGCGGCACTCGGACCCAAAACGGACAATATCATACTATAGGGAGTTGAAATAGACTTGGAGAGCCCAATAACATCATATTAATGGGAGAGTTTAAATGGGCTTAGAAAGCCCAATAAATGGTATCAGAGCCTAGGTCAAAAAAAAGTGGACATATGGGTGTGGGAGATATCCTCAAATGTGACACGATAAGAAGGTGCATCAATAACTTTGCGAACAAGAAGGTGCCGAGTTAGGGTGCCAACGTTTTGCTGAAGAGAAGGTCTAATGTTCGTGGTTCTTGATTTGAAGGGGAGATCGTTGGGTACAAACCAGCATTCTACATCGGAAGTTTAGAAAAGAAGTTGGGTACAAACCAGCATTCTACATCGGAAGTTTAGAAAAGAAGTTTCTAATTTATAAGTAAAGTCTAACTCCAATTAGTTAAGTCTTTTGGGAAGGACCCCAAAACAAATCCGTGCGGACTTAGACACTTGAGCCCAAAGTAGACAATATCATACTAATGGGGAGTTGGAATGGCCTTGGAGAGCCCAATAATATGGTATCAAAGCGGATAAAAAAGTGGACCTAGGGAAATGGGCTTGGGATCTGTGATCGGAGTGGGAGAAGCCCTTAATGTGACACGATAAGATAGTGCTTCAAGAGTTTCGCGAATAAGAAGGTGCCGAGTTAGGGTGCCAAGGTTTCGCTAAAGAGGAGGCCCAATGTTTGTAGTCTTTGGTTTGAAACAGAGATTGTTGGTACAAACGAACGTCCCACATCAGAAGTTTAGAAGATAGTTGTCTAATATATAAGCAAAGTCCAACTCCAATTAGAATGAAGTCTTTTGGGAAGGAGCCCAAAACAAATCCCTGCGGGCTTACACACTTGGGCCCAAAGCAGACAATATCATACTAATGGGAAATTGGAATGGGCTTGGAGAACCTAATAATATACATATGGTCGTAAATAATTCAATATAACTATAAAAGTATTAAAGTAGGGATTATTGTTTTTTCAACCACTTTTGAAATATTTTTTTTCAAATCTACCACAACTGAACTAACCTTTCTAAAATTACCACATTTCTATGATATTGTAGTATTTTATAGACGAATTTCTCCCGAAAAAGTGTGAAGTTTTGTATATAAAAAAAATAAGAGCTTTGTGTTAGAGAAGAAGGATAAAAGGGTTATATTAAATGCAGTTTACATTTATTACAACCAATAATTATGTAAATAGAGTGAATGAAGTCCTCCAAGAATAAGTCCAGATCTCTGGCGGGTAAAACCACACCATATGGCCATGGACAACCATCGTATCCAGTTGTTCTCGAATTTAACAAAGTGTTGATTATTTCATTAGTCTCATTCTCAAAATACAAGATTATATATTGGATGTAAAATTGTTGGCAAATTAGGATTATATAAAGAGTAACATAGTGAATGAAGTCCCCCAAAAGTAAATCAAAATCTCTGGCGAGTAAAACTAGTCCATCTTGCGATGAACAACCAGTAGATCCAGTTGTCCCCAAAGTTTAGATATAGTTGTCCCCGAAATAGATTGAGATTAATGCGGACAGTTAACGATCTATAGAGAGAACATGGGAAGCGAAAATGTACAGAAGTCAAATTGATGGCAGCGTTTGGGTGCACAAAAGAGAGAGAAAATTTTGTCTTTTCACATAAAAAATGTGGTACATTTGAAAAGAACGAAGGAGAAGTGGTAGAAATGAAAAGATTTTTCGAATTATGAATAGAAATGATAATTTTCCTTTTAAATATATTATGAACCAATTTTAATATATTTTCTACAAAAATTAAAATTTAAGCAACTAACAAAAATGGCTCAGTTTTAAGTTTTAAATGCGATATGACTTCAGGTTTACGAGAATAGTCATCAATCATCATTTTCTTCTCTAGAATTACAAATTTTTTTTTTTTTGTCCATAATTTTTTCGAATCAAAAACAAAATAAAATAAAATTATCATTCATTTAAACTGCAAAATTTTCCTTCCTTTTGTGCACCCAAAAAATAAATCTTAAAGTTATGAATTAACCCAAAGTCATAAATTATCATAACTTAAAAGTCCTAATAGACCAATAAAAATTACAAACGATGGGCATACATATTGTTATTTCCACCTAACCTTGTTCCACCTTTTCCTTTTCCATCTATTTGGTCCCCTCTCCTCCTCTTAGCTTTCTTCAACCCTACACGTTTTTTTTCCCCAACAAAATCAACCTTACAAGTTGGCCCCGTATCGAACAATATATTGTTCTTTTCTCTTTCGGAGACCAAGCGACGAGCCTTCCATGGTCAGTGGCTCAAGTTGAATTTAGTGACATTTAAGAAAGACCATGTTACTGTAGAAAACAACGAGTAATATTGTAAAGTTACGTTTTACCAATTTCACATAATGCTTATTTTATGCACTACTAATAAAGGATGCCAGACTTTTGGCCCATAATATTTTTGTGTGCTCGGGGTTTATAATACCATGTTTAACGTAAATTATCTTTTCCCAAGTAGAGTTTTTTTTGGTGATTTTTTCCCAAGTAGAGTTGAGCTAGTGATCTTGAACACTCATTCTCAAAACCACTAGATCCCGCCCATTAGATTAAATCCTTATATATTGCATGTCACCTTTAATTTATTTACAAAATATTTAGTACTTAAAAAAAATAATACATATATAAGATTAAAATAGAGAGAATATCATGTAATATTCTCGTTGTAACTATCATGCTTTATATATATATATATATATATATATATATATATATATATATATATATATATATATATATATAATATACCTCAATTAATTTGATATGTACACCGAACTAATTTGTCTCGACTGTTATCCAAATAAAATAAAAACATAATATATATAAGAAAAATACTGGAGTAAGGTGTTGAATTTTAATAGAATATATAAATTGAGTAGAGCTTGAATTATTAGGTGGAAAAACAGAAAATGATGTGAAATATTTTTTATTTTACTTTTGTCAATATTAAGACACAACTAGCCAGTTCATTAGCCAAATCCCTACAAATTTAGAGAGCAGGACTCGACTTTTGGGTGATGGTGCCTATTCTTAGTAGACTTATCATTTATCACAGTCACTTCACAATGACGTGGTGGTGTCTGTTCTTAGTAGACTTATCATTTATCACGGTCACTTCACGATGATGTGGAATGTTAAAAAAATAAGAAGTATGGTGTTGAATGGAAAAATCATTGTGGATAATGTAAGAGTATCTCTATCGTCCATATCTAACTCGGTATCTTAGCAATAAAAATTAAAAAACAAAAAAAAAAGTTAAGGAGAGTGAGAGAAACGGTATTTCATTTGAGATACTACCAAAACTCCTTTAGATACTTTGCTCAAAGTTGTTAACTTATGAATGTGACTAAGCTTTAACAAAAATAAAAAATTAGTTATATAAAAAATTATATTAAAATATTAATATAAAATTTGTGAGAACCTTGTTTTAAGAAACCCAACCGATAAAGATACTCTAATAAACTAACAATGAAATTGAAAATGAAAGCATAAATAATAAGTATATTAGTATACATCATATTTTCACCCAGTTTAATTTGACCTTAAAAAAAAAAGAGAAGATAATAGTATACATCATTTTTCACGACTCTTGTTCAAAATTTATTAGATTACAAGTTTACTATCCATGTTAGAATTAGAAATACTATATCCATAGTGATTTGCCTGATTTCCACCCATAATTTGACTACCTACACATTTATTATATATAATAGCTAGTGAAACATTTAGCTTATGTTTTACTATTTTCTAAATTCTAGTTGCCATTATTGATATTTTGCATGGGAGAATAAATATGTTGACCGATTCTTTCACTAAAGTCTCCATTACATTTTCACTAAAGTCTCCATCACATTAGTTGTATAAATGATGTAATATTATATAATACAAGGTTTTAGTGGTGCATAGTTTCGGAAGAGTCAACTCTCAGGAAGCTTGCTGCCCATGCGTCAATTTATCACATTTGGAGGCAAAGGAACAACGTTCTTCACAACAACTTGCTGGTCCCGTCTTTGACCACTTTCAGAAACATAGATCGAGAAATCCGTAATACTATAACCGGTAGAAGGCATAGAAAGCGATGGAGGAAGCTTATGCTTCTTTGGATCCGTTAAGTTGGTTCCCCAATTTCTTTTTAAAAGGATTGTAATCTTGTTTTTATTCTTTTTGCCAAGATTACTCTAATTTTAGGTAATGTTTTGTAATACCTAACATTTCATTTCAATGATATTTATAATTTAGCAAAAAAAAAAAAATAGTTTCGGAAGAGATTCCACTCATCTCTCTGCTTCACCATAGGTGATGCTTCGACATTTGAGCCAACAACCAATAGCATTAGATTCTCCATATTTTCTGTACGTACAAATATACAATAAACTAACTAGTGAGTACTACCGAGTAGTGACTAAGAACCATTAATTTATTAACAAATTTAGACTCGCTTTAGTGGTTCTTCACATATCTATGATAACCCCATAATTGGAAAATTCGTGATCTTGATATAAAATCTCTCTAACTTATTGTGTCGGGACATATATATGAATGTAAGCATATTATAAGGTTCTTCTCAATAGAGTCTCAATGAAAGAAACTCCTAACACTTACCTTTCATGTTGTCTTTCTTCTTTTCCTTTGTGCCTCTATAAAACTTATACAATAAGCAAGTGAGTTTCATTGTTCTCTAATGGTATATACAAAAAAGAAGGAGATAAATATAATTGAAATGTGAAAGGAGTGATGAAAGGGAAGAATAAAAAGTTGTTGGTGAGTGTGAATGTTCTTGGAAGTGTTGGTCCTATAAGATTTCTGGCAAACGAGGACGATGAAGTTTCAAATGTTATTAACACAACTTTGAAAGCCTATGCTCGTCAAGGAAGGATCCCGGTTCTAGGATTCGATGTCGATAACTTCATTTTCTACTCCATTAATGCCGGATTCAACAGTATTTTACATAAATCTCCCTTCCACACTCTTAGAATTATTGGAATACGGGATTAAGCTGGACTTCGGTTCAAGATTTACTCTCATATATAACAATTAATCATCATAGTTTAACATTATGTTATTACCGAAAGTATTTGATTCTTTGTTCATCATTGTTCTGGTGTTAGCTTTAAATCCACAAGAGAAGATAGGTTCAATGGATGAAACGAATTTCTTGCTGTGCAAAAAAGAGCCAAATCCACAAGAAAAAGTCAAAAGAAGAGGAGAGAGTAAAGCTTGGATAGGCCATGGATGGAAAACTCGTTTTCTTCGGTCCTTATTACGATAAATTCTATTCAATCACAAATCTATAACTCTATACAAGTCGTAAGAGCTAGATATCATATTATCAATGATCATAATTTAGTATAAATAACAACGCTTAATTATTATATCCTTGCAACCAGAGCCGTCCCCAAGAATTTGAAGGCCACAAACAAAAGAAAAAAAAAGGGCCTATTATTTATTAAAAAATCAAAAAACAAATTGAAAAACAATGAAAATAGAGTTAGAACTCGAACTGTGCACCTCTCACAGATGTTATGTACCTTTTACCACTAGACTACTCAAAGAATTATGCCAAAAATGGGGCCGATATTATGTATAATAAAAAAAGGCCGCAAGCAGAAGCTTTGTTTGCTTGGCCTCATCAACGGCTCTGAGCAACGTAATGAAAATACACAAACAAAAAAAAAAAAACTAAAAGACTTACATAAAATTGATACCTCCGTACCATAGCTTGTTTTTATTTTAATTATTCTTTGGAGGATTCTACAAGAGCTATACTGAGCATCTATATATTATTGACGAAGAAATCAACATATGTTGAAATCAATCCACCAATAATTTTACTATGAGCTTATTGCCGGTCACAACTCTAGACTATGCATGTATCCCTTTATCAACATTCTAAACTATGATATGTCATATGTGTATGGTTCTCAGTTGTCATTTTTTTTTGTTGGATTCTTCTATAGACTTAATGTGAAACACTGCATAACACTCAAAAGAGTTGGATCAAAAGTGTTAAAACCATAACGAATTATGCGATCAAGTACCGTTAACTTTATTCGATTTACTCAAATCTTGTGTTGATGTCATAAAAATTCGAAGGTGGAAGTTTACTGATTCACTTGAGATCTTTTAAGTTTTTACTTGGTATGCTAATTTGGTAAAAAACAAAAATTTGAATTTTTTCTCTCCCAGGCCCTGTTCCCGATGCTCCCAAAGCAGAATGGAACTTTCTTTTAACCGGATCTCAACCACTTTTTCCCCCTAAAAAGAAGCTTTATTCTCCGGTCTTTATCCAGTTATGAAAAGATCCCCTGGACCCTCAGCCTCCCTAATGAATTCAGACCCAAAGACCACCTTCTCCCACCACCATACACTAGCTTTCAACCTCATCGGAGCTCTGGTTTCCACTTGTTTCTCTGGTATATCCTGTTAATTTCTTCTCTATTTCAGTATTTCAGTCTTTCCTGATTGTTGTTAAACCTGTTAAGCCTTGCAAACTTCCACTTTGTGACTCAAACCCTCAAGACACTGTCCTAGTAAAGGAAACCCATCATCCCTATTTCAACCCCTTGACCATCCCAACCATGGAAAAGAGGATACCTTACCATCAAAAAGGAAAAGGAATCGCTACTGGCTACTCTCCCCCACCCCGGAAAAGAATCCAAGCTCCAGCCATTGACACTTCAGATCTGGTGGAAGCAAACTCCCTAACCCTTATAGGGCGCCTTACAAACCCTGCAAGTCAAAGACTCTGGGCTCTTTACCCTTTCCTCACCAACAGATGGAATCTCAAGGGGAAAGCTCTGGGTTCTGACCTGGGCAAAGGTTGTTTCCAGTTTAAGTTTGACTATGCTGAAGATTTGCAAAAGGTGCTGGATAATAGGCCTTATCACTTTGACCAATGGATGGTCATTCTCCAGAAATGGGAACCGATCATCTCCCCTACTTTTCCTTCCATGATACCCTTCTGGATTGATGTTCAGGGTCTCCCAAAACACTACTGGAAACCAGAGATGCTACAAACCATTGGAGAAGATTTAGGCGAGATCCTGGATATGGAAATAACTTCTTCATCAGTAAAGCTAAAAATCCTCCTCAATGGCCTCCAACCTCTTACAAAAGAATCCATGGTGGATTTCCCTGATGGTAGTGAAGCTTTGATCAGTCTTGAGTATAACAACCTTAAAAACCATTGCTCACACTGCCAGAGAATTACCCATGAGAAGAAATCCTGCCCTGGTCTTCAAACAAAACCTGAAAACCAAAGATCCTCCTCTCCAGCTCCTATGTCTCATGCCCAAGAGTCAAAAGGTGCTTCAAGAAACTACTATACACCTAGAGACAACTTTGTGGCGCCCAGAAACCACTCACAAGACTCTGCCAGAAACTACTCATCTCAAAGAAACTATGACCATCGTCAAGTATCCCAGCACCCCAAAAAAGGAAACTCTTCTCTCTACTCAGAGTCTCAATCTGCTTCACAAAGACAAAGAGGCTTTAGAGAAAGGCCTCGAAACCATCAGGAAAGGTACAAAAGATCTCCAAGCAGAGATTACTCTACCTCTTACCATAGTAGAAGGGACAATGGATATCCATCATCCCATAAGAAGCTTCTCTGGAAGGAAAAAACTCCACCTCTGGCTGATCTCCACCGAGAAGTTTCTGATTCTTCCAGAACAAGAAGACCACCTCTTGAAAGAACTACCTTTATTGAATCTAATCCTCCTACTCCTCCTCCTATCCCAACAAATGATGAAGTCATGGGTGAACTCCGGGAAGTAACTCTCCAATACACTAATTGCGCTGATCCTACTGAAAGTGCCGCAAGGAGAAGAAGAGTCCTACAAGGTGAAACACAAAACCTTATGGCAGAAACTGCAGCAAACATGATTGAGGCTGCTACCCTGGCAAATCAAGCCTACCAAGATATGAGGACTGTTCCTCAGCCTAACAACCTTGCTGAACCAGTTGCATCTCTAAGCCATCCCCCTGGATTCTCTTCCCCAGCTGTAGCCCCTGCAAAAAAGAGAAGAGGCCGTCCCCCTCTGAACAAAAGCCCTATGCGCTTAACAGGAGCAAAATCAAGCAAAAGAAATAAATGCACAATCCAAAGCTCACCTAAGAGAAAACCAACTCCTGAAAGAGAATCCCAGCCTGCTGGTACTTCGCGTGACATCTTAAAGAGAACTTCCACAAAATCTGGTCCAAGCAATCCTGGCCCAAAAGGAAAGATCATACCTGCAATCTCAAAGAAGAGGGTGGATTTTCACAATCCACCAAATCCTCTTCCTTAAAGCTTCTGAGCTGGAACTGTTGTGGGTTGGGGAATCCCATAACAGACCGGCGAATTCGTGAGATACACTCCTCTATCTCACCTGATGTTTTATTCCTCATGGAGACAAAGAACCCTGATGCAACAGTGGAAAAAGCCCTGAATTGGATGCAATTTTCTTCTCATTTCCTCGTCTCTCCTCACAGTCCAGGTGGTGGAGGCCTGGCTCTTTACTGGAAAAAAGAAGCAGAAGTCAACATTCTCAAATCCTGCCAAAACTTCATTGATACCCAAATCAAAGCTGCAGGCAAGTCTTTCTTTGCTACCTTCTTGTATGGAGAACCTGACAGAACAAAGCGAAAAGAAATCTGGGATCAGTTAACACTCCTAGGCAGTAACAGAGAAGATCCCTGGTTTTTAACTGGTGATTTTAATGATATCATTGCTTCTTCTGAAAAACAAGGTGGCCCTTTGAGAAGTGAAAGTACCTTTGTTGACATCCGCTCCTTTATGAATGCCTGTGACCTCTTTGATCTAAGACATTCTGGAAACTTTCTTTCCTGGAGAGGAAAGCGCCATGACCATATGGTACACTGCAGACTTGATAGAGCAATGTCAAATGGAGCTTGGGCTGAAATGTACCCATTCAGTCATAGTGAGTATCTCAGATTTGAAGGATCTGATCATAGACCTCTCCTTACCCTGCTGGATCTCACAAAGAAAAAGAAAAAGGGAATTTTCAGATACGACAGAAGGTTAAAAGGAAATGAAGAGGTCAATACCTTAATTCAGGAGGCTTGGTCTTTTGATGAGTTTGAATCTGTTGAAAAGAAAATTATCAGATGCAGACAGGATATTATTGCTTGGACAAGATCAAATCAACAAAATAGTCAGAAACTTATCAATGAATGCAGACAGAAGCTGGAGGAAGCAATGTCTAGCAGTGATCCTGATCCAATTCTGATCTCAACCATAAACCTCAACCTCCTTCAGGCCTACAAAGCAGAGGAGGATTTCTGGAAACAAAGAAGCCGTCAGTTGTGGCTTGCTTTGGGGGACAAAAACTCTGGTTATTTCCATGCTGCTACCAGAGGAAGAACAACAGTTAATAAATTCTCCATTATTGAGGATAAGGATGGTGTCCCTTATTTTGAGGAAGAGGAAATCTTATCAGTTATTACCAACTATTTCCAAGAGCTGTTTACCTCCCAGGAGGGTGAAAGAACTTCTCTGGTCCTCGAGGCAATTCAACCCTGCATCTCACCAGCCACAAACCAAGCACTAATTGAACAGCCTACAGAGGAGGAGATTAGAAGAGCCTGCTTCTCGATCCATGCTGATAAAGCACCCGGCCCTGATGGTTTCTCTGCAAGTTTCTTCCAATCAAATTGGAACACTGTAGGTCCCCAGATTGTTTTTGAGGTCCAATCTTTCTTTCTGTCTGATATCTTACCTACAAGCATTAATCACACGCATGTTAGGCTTATTCCAAAAATCCAAAGCCCACAAAAAATGGTGGATTACAGACCAATTGCCCTCTGCTCTGTCTTCTATAAAATCATTGCCAAACTCCTCTCAAAGCGCCTCCAGCCAGTCCTACAAGACATCATTTCAGAAAACCAATCAGCGTTTGTGCCTAAGAGAGCTATCACTGATAATGTCCTAATAACTCATGAAGTCCTTCATTACCTTAAAACCTCAAAAGCTCAAGAAAGATGCTTCATGGCGGTCAAAACTGACATGAGCAAAGCTTATGACCGCCTTGAATGGGATTTCATCAGAACAGTTTTAGTGAGAATGGGCTTCCACCAGAAATGGACTCATTGGATTATGCAATGCATAACCACTGTCTCATATTCCTTCCTCTTAAATGGATCAGCTCAAGGAAGTGTCCTCCCCAATAGAGGAATCAGACAGGGTGACCCGCTTTCACCCTACCTGTTTATTTTGTGCAGCGAGGTTCTCTCTGGTCTCTGCAGCAGAGCACAACAGGATGGATCCTTACCAGGCGTCAGAATTGCTTTAGGCTGCCCAAGAGTAAATCACCTACTCTTCGCTGACGACACCATGTTCTTTTGTAGAACTGATGAACAAAGCTGCAAAACACTCTTGAAGATTATTCAGAGATATGAGATAGCCTCCGGTCAAATGATCAATAAAGGAAAATCCTCTATAACCTTCTCTGCAAAGACACCTGCAAGCATCAAAGAAAAAGCTCATCAAACTCTGGGAATGCAGCAGGTAGGAGGACTAGGTAAATATCTTGGACTCCCTGAATTCTTTGGCAGGAAAAAGAAAGATATGTTCAACATGATAATAGATAGAATCAGACAACGAGCCCTAAGCTGGTCAACAAGATTCCTATCTACCGCAGGCAAGGATACAATGCTGAAAGCTGTCTTGGCTGCTATGCCTACATACACTATGTCGTGCTTCAAAATCCCAGGATCTCTATGTAAAAGAATCCAGTCAGCTCTCACCAGATTCTGGTGGGACTCTTCTGCTGAACACAAGAAAATGTGTTGGATTGCGTGGTCAAAGCTAACTCAGGCAAAAAGTGTTGGAGGATTGGGATTTAGAGACATACCTAATTTCAATGATGCTCTCCTTGCTAAGATCAGTTGGAGAATTCTCTCCAATCCCTCCTGCCTACTGGCCAAACTTCTTCTAGGAAAATATTGCAAGACCTCTCCCTTCCTGGACTGCAAGGTGTCACCAACTGCATCTCATGGATGGCGAGGGATCTGCCTTGGTCGTGATCTCCTAAAAACTCATCTCGGGAAGGTAATTGGATCTGGTGCTAATACTTTGTTGTGGTACGAACCATGGGTGTCTCTCTCAAAGACAACTACTCCCATGGGACCACCAACAGAGCTCAGCCAACATTTAACAGTCGCAAATCTCCTCTGCCCTGTCTCCAAATCTTGGAACAGAGATATGATCAGAAAGCTTCTCCCGGCGTATGAACAAGATATTCTCTCCCTCCGACCAAGTAGAACAGTTGCAGTGGATCGCCATGTCTGGCTCCTTACCAAATCAGGTGAATACTCTTCAAAATCCGGGTACCACGCCGCTTCCCTGTTGGAGGAAAAACAAAACCATCAATTCAACCCTCTAAATGGCTTCAGCTGGTTCAAGGAGATATGGAATATCAAGTGCCTACCAAAGATAAAATTTTTCCTCTGGAAACTTTTAAAAGATGCTCTTCCTCTAGGAGAAACCATGAAATCCAGAGGCATCAACCTGCCCGGATGTTGTCCACACTGTCAAGCTGAAGAATCTGGCCTACACTTATTCTTTCAATGCCCTTTTGCAATCAAGATCTGGGATATGGCGCCTTTCAAATCGCAACTAAACCCTGTTCGCATATCCAGTTTGAGAATGGGGATTGAGCTCTCTAATCGGTTGGTTAACCTTCCTCCTCTGGGGGTAGGGACTGAACCCTTAGCTCCGTGGATCTTGTGGAACATTTGGACCTGCAGAAACAAGAAGATCTTTGAGACGGCTCAACTTCTACCCGCTGATGTGCTCTCCAACGCCATCAGACAAGCCCGTGAGTGGATCGGTGCTCAGCCAACCCATCCAACTCAGACTCAAAGCCGCTCCTTACCTCCGATGGATACCACAGATGCAGGTACTATCCGGTGCTTCTCTGATGCGGCGTGGCGAGATCCTGGAGAAGCAGGCTTCGGGTGGGTTTTCTTCAATCACCTCGCCAATTCTGAACATCACGATAGCTCATCTGCATCAAATGTGGGCTCACCTCTTCTGGCAGAGGCAATTGCTCTATCTCTGGCCCAAAAACAAGCTCTTGACCTTGGCTACAGGAAAGTTTCTTTTGCTTCAGATTCACAGTTGGTGATCAAAGCACTCAATTTGGAGTCTTCTTCTAAGGAGCTCTACGGGATTCTCCAAGACATCCTTTATTTTTCTTCTCAATTCGATGAATGCTCTTTTTCTTATGTCCCTCGGGGAAAAAACACAAGGGCAGATGCTCTTGCAAAATCTGCCTTAATGTCTGCATTTATTGTACCGGCATCTGGTTTGGTTTGAGTTAATGAAATTTCATCTTTGACAAAAAAAAAAAAAAAAAAAAAAACTAAAAGACTTACATAAAATTGATACCTCCGTACCATAGCTTGTTTTTATTTTAATTATTCTTTGGAGGATTCTACAAGAGCTATACTGAGCATCTATATATTATTGACGAAGAAATCAACATATGTTGAAATCAATCCACCAATAATTTTACTATGAGCTTATTGCCGGTCACAACTCTAGACTATGCATGTATCCCTTTATCAACATTCTAAACTATGATATGTCATATGTGTATGGTTCTCAGTTGTCATTTTTTTTTGTTGGATTCTTCTATAGACTTAATGTGAAACACTGCATAACACTCAAAAGAGTTGGATCAAAAGTGTTAAAACCATAACGAATTATGCGATCAAGTACCGTTAACTTTATTCGATTTACTCAAATCTTGTGTTGATGTCATAAAAATTCGAAGGTGGAAGTTTACTGATTCACTTGAGATTTTTTAAGTTTTTACTTGGTATGCTAATTTGGTAAAAAAAATTTATCCATTTTCTTAATTTTTGTCAACCTCAAACCGGTGGCGTAGATGGTTGAATTAATTCCTCGAAATATTCCTTGCATCGAGTATTCATATATACATTCGAAGATATATATGGTCCATCCGGTGTTCTTAGTCAAGTAAGTTTATGGATCATCCGGTTTAACTATAGGAACTAGCATTGCGACTGCCCATATCTATAGATAAAAAATGTTCAAAATTATTCTTTTTGGGCAAAAATATTTAAAAAAGCATTATGAAAAAATAGGTCTAAATAAACAAATTTATGGATAAATTAAATAAGGGCCAAAAATATTTATAAGCAAAAAGTAGTTCATAAAATTTTAGGAAAAATGGGTAGAAAAACCTTCACCTTTTTAAAAAACATAAAACAAACCCTCATTTTTTTTGTGGGGTTTTAAACCCTCATCTTTTCGTAAATGGTAAAATAAATTCTATTATTAATAAACTCAATTTAAATTCAAACAAATCGTTATATTAAACATAATAAATATAAACAATTTGATTTAGAATTTTTCTTTTAAAATTCCAGTTTACAATCTTTTTTCTAAATTAAAATTTTTAAGTCATGATGTAAAAAAAATTAATTGTATTCGATTGTGTTACAAAATTCATCAATGTGAAACCAAACAGATTTTGTTACGAATAATATATAAATTCTTATATTGAACCAAATATGAGTTTATGTTAATAAAGATTTATTCGGTTCAATCACATAAATTTACTAACGTAAAACTAGGGGTGTCAAAATGGTTAACCCAACTCAACGCAACTCATTACCCAATGAGTTTAGAGTAAAATGAGTTGAGTCAACCCATCAACTCATTTAATTTGATGGGTTAGAAGGTTAAATGGGTTGACTCATTAACCTATTAATATAATAAATAAATTAATAATTAAAATATAATAATAATAATAATAATAATAATAATAATAATCAACGTCACTATTATTTGGCGGGAAAATCACGGATTTACGTTTTTGGCGGGAAAATTACGGATTTACGTTTTTGGCGGGCAAATTTTACATTCTCATTTTTGGCTAAAAATTATAAAAAATTTTGGCGGGAAAATCACGGATTTACGTTTTTGGCGGAAAAATTACGGATTTACGTTTTTGGCGGGAAAATCACGAATTTACGTTTTTGGCGGAAAAATTACATATTTTCGTTTTTGGTTAAAAATTATAAAAAATTTTGGCGGGAAAATTGCGAATTTACGTTTTTGGTGGGAAAATTGTGGATTTACGTTTTTGGCGGGAAAATCACGAATTTATATTTTGATGGAAAATTGTGTATTTACATTTTTGGCGGAAAAATTAAGGACTATATTCAATCGGTTTAGAAGTTTTGGTTAGACTCAAATTGAAATCGGTTTAGAGATTTGAATTGGTTTGATTCAATTTAACAAAAATTGATGGGTTAAATGGGTAAACCATTGAAACCATTGACCCATTACAACTCAACTCATTTGATCCATCAACTCATTTGACTCAATAACCCATTTGATCCAATAACTCATTTGATCCATCAACTCATTTGAAAACTCGAACAAAAAAAAAATCAAATGTGCTATCCTATAAATTTTTGTAGTTTATATAACATAACTTCTAATGGAAACAAAAATGATTTGCCTAATCTCAACTAAATTATGAATGAATTTTTATAGCGCAAAAACCTTAATTTTAGAAAGAAAAATTGCAAACTCGAACTTGAAAAAAATCATATATTAAATTATTTTTGTTTCTTATTATTTTAATATGACGATTTAAAAAAAAAGTTGAGTTTATTAATATTAGGGTTTATTTTACCACTTATGAAAAGGTGAGGGTTTTAAAACCCAAAAAAAAAGTTGAGGATTTTTTACATGTTTTTAAGAAAGGTGAGGGTTTTTTTACCCATTTTTCCAAAATTTTACTTTCGTATAACCATTAACAAAAATACTCATAAATTTTTTTAAAAATTAACTCTATAATTTACATGTTTAGAGATATATTTTAAATTTTTGTCTTAGAACCCATTAAATATTTAAACCGGCATTAGTCTTCATCGTCCATGGTGATTTCTTGGAAAGTCGTCTTTTTCATACCTGCACAAATGAAGTGTGTTGAATTCATACATTTGACTTCTACGTGTGCTAAATCATACATGCACTTTTAAGAAATTTGAATTTCAAACTCGAAGTTAACTTTTTGTGCCAAATCCTACAAAAACGTACAAAATATTTAACACTGTTAACCCACCGTGAAATCGCAGTGACGTGGATTACACGTGTACAACGTCAATATAAAACGACTTCGTTTTACTTAAAATCAAAATTTTAAAAAAATAGACATTTTAGGTCTCGAACCCATGACCTCTAACCCATGACCTCTAATAAGCAAAGACAACTCATAACCAATATGCTAACCGAATTCTCGTTGTATCTCTAACCAAAACTATATTTATAACCTTTGTTTTCTTTTTTTTCTTCTTCTCCCATACGACGGCTGCTCCACACCTCCAAAGCGGACATCGTTTTGCTCATCAATTCACATTCGTCGGGTTCGAGATTCACCGAATTGATCGAAGAAGAGAACGACTCGTTCTTAAAACTCATCGATGTTCATAAAAATTCAAATCAAATCGACTAGGTTTGGGGATTTAATCTGACCAAACTCATGAAGAAGCAATCGAGCAAGAGGGAGACGTCATCATCTGAGCCAATTTGGAGGAAGAAGAGCCATCGAACTAGTAACTACAACGAATTGTCGTTTCATATTCTATAGAGATTGTGGAGTTTAACAAGCATATTGGTTATGAGTTGTCTTTGCATATTAGAGGTCCTGGGTTCGAGACTTAAAATGTCTAATTTTTTGAAATTTTGATTTTTCGTAAAACGACGTCGTTTTGCGTTGACGTTGTACACGTGTAATCCACGTCACTACGATTTCACGGTGGGTTAACAGTGTTAAATATTTTGCACGTTTTTGTAGGATTTTGCACAAAAAGTTAACTTCGGATTTGAAATTCAAATTTCTTAAAAGTGCATGTATGATTTAGCACATGTAGAAATCAAATGTATGAATTCAACACACTTCATTTGTGCAGGTATGAAAAAGCCGACTTTCCGTGATTTCTTCATAGTGCCATGGTTTAGACCATAATATGTAATCAAATTCTCTACTAATTCATAATCGATATAAAGACGAAAATAACCCTAGACATATTATATAATTACGAAATTGACCTTACCCTAGACTTAAACCCCATTATCTTCCTCGTTCCCCTCTCAGCTAAATTCTGATCTGCAATTTAACGAAAGTACGAAACCAAAAGCACAAAACTCATCGAAGCTCCTCAAAAACCCTAAACTCAATCTCTCCATCTCCTCTCGTTCGGATTCTACTGTCTTCTTCTGGTAATTCTTCTTCTTCTTCTATCTTGTTGCGAATCATTCGTCCCCTTGAACCATCTTACTTGATTGATTTCGTTCCACTCTTATCTGCTTGCACGCAATTCCCAGTTTTCGTTTCAATAACTATGACTAGGTTATATAAGATCAATAGATCTAGGGTTTTGATTGATGTTTGTTTAAATTGAGAACGATAGATTTCCCCTTCCTAAGTAATCTAGGGTTTTATCCGATTTCACTGTCTCCATGTGCTACGTTTGTGGTTCTGTTTACCTGATTTCTAGCTCTCAATCTGATAGGATCGAGTTTTTCTATACTGGGTTGCTCTAAATTTGCAATTTTGTTTTAGTCTTAAGAATAAGCCAGTTTTATGATTTTGATATGTTTTTACTTGTTCATGGTTTTTGGTGGTAACTAAACAATCTTTCTCTAATCTATGCAGGTTTTCAGATTCAGTTTTATTATTGTGTTTCATAAGACAATTGGAGTGAAGATGTCGGGTGCTTTGAATATGACTCTTGATGAGATTGTTAAGAGGGGTAAGACTGCAAGGTCTGGGGGAAGAGGAAATTCTCGTCCTGGTCGTGGTCGTGGCAGTGGTGGTGGTGGATCAAATGGTTTTCTCGGTGGTAGAAGAGGAGCTGGACCTGCTCGAAGAGGTCCTCTTGCTGTGAATGCTCGCCCATCGTCTTTGTCCATTAACAAGGCAAGCTCAAAATCTGGGATCTTCTATGTGTATGATTTGGAAATCTGAGTTTCTGTGGTATCATATACCAAAGCATTTACTTCATCATGCTATATCTAAACGATGGGAGAAGCAGGTTTTCTCGTACATGCGAAAAGCCTTGCTTCTGATGATAGTTTGACATTCTTTAGCATTCAGAACCTCGTCTAGGAGGTGATACATGCTTCTTTCTAGTTCATGGAGATGATTTCATTTAGGCAAACCTCTTACCCCTGCAGTTTCGGTGTACTTTGTGGTTTATGTTGTTAAATTGTGAGGACTTTGGCAGACAAGTTATTGGTTGCTTTTGCAACAGTACTTCGAAGCTGAGGAGCTTCAGTAAGATGAAGACCAATATTTGTTCTTCCAGTAGATAAGTTAGACATGTTGATTGTTGTGCTTTTCAGCCACAGCTTAAAATCCTCCAAAGATATGTGGTGTTGTGGCGTTTGGGGAATGTTCAGTAACTGTTCTTGCAGTAAATACGCTTTGTAGTGACTTACCTTTACCCCTACACAGTCTATCTGTATAATACATGAAGTTAGTGATGAACCTCTAGCTACATCTGGATTTTCTTCAGCATGGTATGAGCGTCTTGGTTTTACTTTTATCATCATAGCCTTGGTACAAAGAGTTTGTTTTGGAATCGGATCAGTGACCAATATGCAGTCATTCAAATTCATTGTTCCTCCATTTCATTTGGTTTTCTCATTGGGTGGTTCTTGACTACTCGGTGGAGCTCATTACTTTGACTGGTTTTTGCTCTTTCAGCCAAATGGGTGGTCTCTTCTTTGGAATTTTTTTTCGTTGACATTGTTTTTGAAGTTCGACAGACATGTTGTACTGAAGTGATTCTGTTCTATTGAATAGCCTGTCCGTAGGGTCAGGAGCTTGCCATGGCAAAGTGGTTTGTTTGAAGATGGCTTAAGAGCTGCTGGGGTATCAGGAGTTGAAGTTGGAACCAGACTCCATGTTACAAATCTGGACCAGGGTGTGACAAATGAAGATATAAGGGTATAATCAGACTTCTATAATATGTGCTTTTGGTTTTTTAGAGGGGAGCCAGACACTAAAATGTATCTTCGTGGAATCTAGGAACTCTTCTCTGAGATTGGGGAGGTAGAGCGTTATGCGATTCATTATGATAAAAATGGGCGTCCAAGTGTAAGTCCTCACAAATCTTTATCATTCCCATTCTCTTCATGATTGTGAAAAACTTTATCTTATATGTTTTCTAACAGTGATTTTGTTTTGTGCCATGGAACTACAGGGCACAGCTGAAGTGGTGTATCCAAGAAGAAGTGATGCATTTCAAGCTCTGAAGAAATACAACAATGTATTATTGGATGGAAGGCCAATGAGACTTGAGATTTTGGGTGGCAACAATTCCGAGGCTCCTTTATCTGGTCGTGTGAATGTGAATGTCACTGGTCTCAACGGAAGGCTGAAGAGGACTGTTGTTATCCAGTATGAATTTCTGTTCCTTTTTTCAGTAATGGCATGAATAACTGCTGTGAGACTAAATCCAAGACTTACACATTCTTCTCTGATACTTGTAGACAAGGAGGAGGGAGAGGAAGAGTTAGAGGAGGGAGAGGAGGAAGAGGTCCAGCTCCTACTATCAGTCGTCGCCTTCCAATGTAAGTATAATTCCGTTCTCTTTAATACCTGTAGGGGAGAACCAAACTGAGATTTGTCAAACTGGAACCGAACTGACTTTCATAATAACAAGCACGGTCATAAAACTTTGATATCTAATTTGATGCAACCAAATAAATCAAAACTCATAGTTAGTTGACTTCTTTTGTTTTGAAAAATGTTTTGTTTTTTGTCAAAAAGCCTCATCGAGGCAAACCAACTTGAGATAAACGTCAGTTATAGTTTGCACTTCTTTTCCAAACCCGAAACCTTAAAAACCCAACCGAAAAATCATATGCCTAGGTCTACCTTATTAGATCAAAATAATAAGTGTTTTATTTCTTTTGGTGGCAGTCATAACCAGCAGGGAGGGATGAGAGGGGGAAGAGGCGGGTTTCGTGGTAGAGGGCGTGGTGGTGGCGGCCGTGGTCGTGGTGGTGGAAGAGGAAATGGAAAGAAGCCAGTGGAAAAGTCAGCTGCTGATCTTGACAAGGATCTTGAGAGCTATCACGCTGATGCTATGAACACCTCTTAAATCCAGCAACAAACCTGTCTTGTTGTTCTTACTACTTAACTAGTTTCAGATGATATCATGCTTCTCTCTTTTTTCATGCTCTTCGTTTCTAGTGATTTTATGGTTTTGTTGGTGGTTTGATTGTGTAAAGTAAATGAAAGCTGTTTAGAATCATCTAGTCGTCTTAAATTTGTTTTTTTCTTAATAAAAATTGGAATGAGTAATTTATAGTTAGTTTTGGGTATTTACCAAATTAACTCTTTTAAGATTTAAGTTTCTACTTGTGATTTTACATGGAGGTTAAAAAAGTGAGAACGATTTGGACAAAATTTTCTTTACTTGTCTTGTCTCAGACCAATTTCAACCGGATTATAGACATTCTCTCACAAATCCAGTAATCCACAAGCCTAGAATTGCATGTACAGTACATGATGAACAAAATTGAGTAAAAACAAACCCAATCCAATCACAATCGATCCGACATAAGGCTACCTTTCAGGAACAACGTTATCGTTGAAAACGAATTCTCCCGAATCGCTTCGATGGAAAAGCTTTTCCACCACTTCATCCCAATTCTTCTTCTTCGTTTTTGACTCCGCCGATGCATCTCCATTATTGCATTCTTCTTCTTCTTCAGCGGTGGACACTGCGTGTGGGATATTGAGACTAACCGCTCTCTCCAACGCATCTTTGTGCTCTTTCTCTAAAGTGTTTAACCTCTCCATTCTCTTTTCTTTTGGTGGCATTGTTGCCACTGTCTCTGAACTCTTCTCTCTCAATATCTGTAACCACAAAACACAAAACCCACCATTTTTATAAGCCTAACTGATCTCTTAATATTTTGAGGAATTGTAAAAATGGATCAAAATATTTTTTCCTAATGCCTAACTAATACATAATTATGAATCCTGTCCTTTTCATCTATATGTTGACTTAGATTTTTTCCTAACTATCGCATAATACATTTGTTTGTGTGGTCTTGTTTTTGTTTTGCTTAACTAGATACAAAAAAATAAATGTCACCTGTAATGCCTTTTCGGCTTCTCTTTCTATCCATAGAATCGCATGATCAGAAGTTGCATTCGATGATAATACAATATGTTCAAATCTCCCATCCACGGGAATCGCAGTTCTCACTTCAGGAGGAAACCTTCCACATCTAAATATAAACAATAATCAGAAAAGAATCACAAAGAAAGTTAGCTAAGAAAATGGCACAATAACTCCATTATTACCTGCAAAACTTCCGCTCCACGATATGATAAATTCGACCAGGAGCATAAAGTCTTCTAGGATCCCGTAGTTTCCGACCTTCTGGTATAAATGTATCCCTCAAACAAACTAGAAACAACAAGCAAGGCAAACTGTCCAAACAACAAATACAGAGAATGTTGAGTTAACCTATAACAAATTCATAGCAACAAAAGAAAACAGAAGCATTTTCGAAGTTCGACACTTACCAAAATACAGACTTGAATATATCCTCCAACGGTGTCGCCGTTCTTGGTAAAAAATCATCCTATTATTCCACAAACACTAAGTTTTGTTAAAATTCGTCTACTTAGTAGTAACTAGTAAGTACCTTACTCTATGAAAATTCTCTCTATAGATACCTTTCTTAACAACTAAACAACCTCCCAAAACCAGTACAAAATTCACCAGAATATTCAGACCAAACTCAAGAAGTAAAAAGAAAAATTCAATTTGTCGATTCAATGTATAAAGCACAAAAGCATATTCTTAACTTACGGATGATGATTATGACAATGCTTGGTCAACAATGAACCAACAACCACCATCCAACAAGACAGTTACAAAAATAATCTAATTTTATATCAAAAACTATAAAAATATTCAAAATCGTTTATAAATCAACAAATTAGTTGTCAAAATCAAATCTCTAACCCCTTAAACAACTAAACCATAACCCTTAAATACTTAATTTACCTAACCAAAATTTCTTAATTACAAGAGAGATTTAACCTTTCTGATATATTATTTTTTTTTGTTAAAAATTTCTCAATTATCCCACATTTAACATTGCAAATCCAGTGTCTAAAATCAGCTAAATTTACGAAACTCACATAAAACTTTTTTACCTCTACTTCACTAATCTATTTTTCTTGAATCATTTTATAAATTATCAAGTAATAACAAAAAATGGGTTAAAAAAAGTTTAACCTGTAAAATAACAGAGAAGATGACGTCAGCATACTTAACGGCGAGATTAAGCGACATACACCTCGCCGGAGCCAAAGCAAAACACCGGATCTTACTCCTCGGAATACCACCAATCATCGCCGGATTATTAACAACCAAAACCGCCATCAAAGCAGCAACACCAGAACCTAAAGAATGACCAGCAAAAACCAAATCATACTCTTTACCATTCTCTTCCCAAACTCTCCTAAGTGTTTCAGATTCTTGATTCAAAACCCAAGCAGCAGATTTCAATAACCCACGATGCACGAAACCACCACCAAGCATTTTCTGACCTAATTTGTTATCTAAAAGAATCTTGTAATCACTCTCTTTAGCTAAGTTCAAACCACGAATCGCTAAAACAATCTCACGGTGGTTGTGATCTATGTAGATAATGTACGGTGGAGATCTTCCTAGGGTTTTTTCGTGTGTCACACGTTTTATGACCCAGTCAGGGTTTAGATCGAAAGTTCCTAATGAAGGTGAGATTTTAGGGTTTCTTAGATCGGGTTCGTAGACGGCGAGGATTACACGGCTGATTCTTGGGATTGGTTCGAATTCTTCAGGTGTTGCTGATGTCCACGTGGCACTATCGTCGGAGCCTACGTGTGTGCATCGTTTCCATGCCCATCGACTGAATCCTACGCAGAAGACACATTCTAGTCCACAAGCTACTGACATTTTTTGGGTTTTGATGAAGAAAAATTGAAACTTTTTTGACCCAAAGGTGAGAATTTGGGGTTTCAGAGGAAAGATTGAAACTTTTTTGACCCAAAGATGAGATTTTCTGAGATTAGAGGATTTGGGTTTTTGAAGAGTTGAGATTTGGGGGTTTTTGAGGAGGAAAGATTGAAAAATTTGAGATAAAGGTGAGATTTTTGGAACTAGGAATTGGTGAGAGGATACAAAATTTTGACTTAAAGTTGAGATTTTTAGCAGACTTGGGTTGTTGAAGAATTAAGATTTGGTTTTTGTTTTTTTCAGAGGAAGAAAATCTGAAATTTGAGACTAGAAATTGGTCAAATTTCGAGGTCGAATGAGAAATTAGAGAACTTGAGATTTGAAGAATATACCAAAGGTTTTTTTTTTTTTTTGGAAAGATTAAGATTTGGGGAAATACATGGAAATAAAATGTAATTTTCAGAGGGATTATTAAGGGAAATGGATCGACATCGAAGGAAAAAAAAGTAGGAATAAAGAAGAAGAAACCAGCTAAGTAAAAGACAGATAAGAGAGATTATTTCTCTGGGTGTTTCGAGACAGAGCCCAAAAAGCAAGAATTGAAGAACATGTCCATTTTCTATTAAAAAAAGCCTAATTTTGTTCCTTTTTTATTTATTTATGTGTTATTAGTTTATGCAGTCTTGTGAATTTATGAAAATCTTTGATTCTTGTCCCATTGATTAAATTTTTTTGAAAATGTTTGATTAAAAAAATGAAAATATTTTATTCTCATTTGACTACCCATCTGTACAAGGAAAGCTAATGTTGACTATTATATTTATTTTTAAGGTAATGAATGGAAATAGAGGTGCTAATCTCATTTCTCAAAGTATGACTAATGAGTGTAGGCTTCAATCGTATGTGGCCTCAAGTTTTTCTTCTTGGCTTCTTGGTGTCTTTAGGGATGAGAGAGTTCTAACATCTGTGGGCTAAAGGCCTTTCAGTTTTTTGACTCCTTGTTCATGTGGGAGTTGTATTCTTTTGTTTGTTACCTTGTTGTATGTCTTTCTCAAAGTTGGCCTTTAGATAAGTGCTTCTTGCATTTGGCCCATTTTTTGGAATGACTTTCCTCAAGCCTGTTGTAAATCTCTCAATCTCTAATATAATTCCAGTTGACAAAAAAAAAGAATGGAAATAGAGTAATTGTGGATTTCACCAAAGTTTTTTTTAAACCGTACTCTAAACACCAATCAAAAAATTTCTATTACAAATTGTATGTGTTTTTCTGAGTGACTTATGTTATAAAATTTTTCTAAAGTGTGTATGTGTACTTGGTATCTATTTCGTTATGAATACAATTAACGACAAAAACTATGATTCAAATATGTTTTGCTGGTTTCTCTCTTATTACTATACACTAATAATAATAAAATTGACAAATTGCAGTTTGTCATAGTAGTAAGTGCGGTATATATATTTATAAGAAGAAAATATATATATATATATATACATATATATATACATATATATATATATATATATACAATTTGTTGAGATTATAAACTGAAAAATCGATACTTGCTTCAGTAACCTGTGAACTTTCCTGTTTTTAATCTTGTTTTTATCGTTTGGTTGAAATTAGCATGAGATATTTCGTTAGAACTTGGAAATCTAGGTTACAATTTCGAATTTATCTGCTTTACGAAAACTTCATTAGTTTTGATTAGTTTACTAGTCATTCTTAGGTTGATGATGACTGTTAACCGATAGATTATGTTTCTCTATGACTTGTAAATCCACCGATACTTGGGCCCACCATGGCTCAACAAGGATGTATGTGTGTTTTACCCTTTGTTATCAGATTTTCAGATTATAGTTTCTGCTTTGTTAACTAACAATTCGTTTATGCTTTTGATGGAAAACAGACTTTTATTAGAGCATAAGTCTAATCCGTCAATAGGAAGCTCTTTTGAAAATAGAGAATGTTTTAAGGCCTAAGTAGTCACTTTCGATCCAAGAGCTGATGGATTGCATGGACAAGCAACTCCTAACTGCTGCTGAAGCTTTACCCGACATCAATGATGCTTTGGCGGTTCTTCAACACCGCGAGACTGTTCTCAAACAACACCGACATATTCGATCAATCGGACAGCCCTCGAAGATGATGTAACTTTTCAATTATACATTATATTGGATTAAGTTGATCACTTGATAACTCACATCACACTTTGATTCTCTTAGCCATCATTAGCGCCATAGAGAACATATAGTCTAAGGTACCGGTTTTCATGAAACAAGGCAAATAAATGATGAATAGAAAAATATTCGAACATGTGTCAAACGGTTAAAAGGAAAATGGTGTTTCTTAGCGCAAAAACCATCACTTTAAGGAGATCGCAAGGACTATAATGTTTGAGAAAAATGTTCCAAAACATTATTGGACTGATCAACAACAAAATGAGATGAAAATGTCCAAAAAAATCATTTACTCTATGAGTAGAAAAATGTTGGTTAAGCTATAATTTACTCATCAGTGAATTTTATATTAATGAATTTGGGTTTCTTAGAGCATATGCATCGCAAAAACTTTTTTATAGGTCTTAAATAATTATAATGGTATTATAAGTTAAGAGAGAGAAAGATATATATATATATATATATATATATATATTGATCGGTGGAGAGAGAGAGAGATATGAAGATGCTTTTTACCTTTTCTTAAACTGATACCCATTCATGTTCTGACACGTGGCAGTAAGAGCTGCCTCACAACTGATCTTGCTCAAGACCACTCTTCCCTTGTTCCTCTACTGTTTGAGTTTTTTCTATTTTTTTATACCTAAGAACAGGGTAAAAGATGATGCGTTACATATGGTCTTACTGCAAGTTGTAAAACTAAAATATAACTACATTTTGACTTTTCATGACGTCAGTTGGCCAACTATTATTGTCTCGCATTTTAATTCCTAAACAATCAAATCATAACTTGCAAGAATCCATACTCTTTTCTTATACCCAAAAACAATATTCTTTTATATAATTAAGTATGACCATAGATACGTCATATGTGTGACAGTGTGAGATATAGCTATGTATCCATGCAGATTAGAATTGACAATAAACCATTAACTGTAAAAACCTAACTGGACCAAAAGCAACGAGAACGTTTTTTTTTTTTTTTTTATATAAATCGTTGTTTTCATTATCTTAAATTCGAAAATTTGTAACCAAAACTGAACCGAAACCAATTTAATTTGGTGTAATCGAACCAAAATAAATTGAATAAAATAAAAGTTTATTAAACCTTATATTTTTATTTTATATATTAAAAGTTATAATCATATTACATAAGTTAGTATTTACATATATTTTTAAACCCGAATTACAAATGGTTTGCGCTAAAATCATATTATATAAATTAGTATTTACGCTAAAAATTATAATCATATTACATAAGTTAGTATCAACGCTAAAAATACAATAATATGTCACTTAATTATTAGAGTGATATGGACCGGTTATTGCTGGTTTACTTTGGTTATCTACATCTCGGTTTAATGTTAAAACACTATATAAGCTTAATTCATCATTAGTGTATAGTTTAAGCTTTGTAACAACATTTTTGGTTAATAATGAAAGTTTGTTAAGAATCCGTTAAGCTCTTCTTCATTCTTGTGATTCCGATGATCGGAATTCAATATGGTATCAGAGCATATCGTCTTCTTCCGCAATTGATTCTTCGCCGGAGATGAGCTTTTCCGATTTGTTCTTAGCTTCGATTGATCTTTGATTTCTTCTTTGTTTTGTTCGCGATTTGCGATTTCTTCTTTTTTGATTCACCGGAGTTTTATTTTCCGTTCTGTTTCTTTCGATTTCTCTTTTGTTGACCTTCAGTGTTGACGATCTTTTGCTTTCTTTACTCAATTCGTCACACTTTTCTTTGTAATTTCTCGTTCTTAAACTGAGAATGGGATCTTATGTTCCTCCATCTACGATTCCGGTGATTCGTCCTCCGTTAAATACTGGAGAACAGACTCGTTATCCAGCTGATCATTATGAGAATCCATATTATCTTCATAATAACGATCACGCAGGTCTTGTTCTTGTTTCCGATCGTCTTACGAATGCTTCTGATTTTCACTCTTGGAGACGATCGATTCTGATGGCTTTGAATGTTCGCAACAAACTGGGATTTATCAATGGTACGATTCCAAAACCACCTGATGATCATAGAGATTTTGGTGCTTGGTCTAGGTGTAATGATATAGTTAGTACCTGGTTGATGAATGCTGTTGATAAGAAGATAGGCCAGAGTTTACTCTTTATTGCTACTGCACAAGGAATCTGGAATAATCTCTTAACCAGATTCAAGCAGGATGATGCTCCGAGAATCTTTGATATTGAACAGAAACTTAGCAAGATTGAGCAGGGATCTATGGATGTTTCTGCATATTACACTGCCTTGCTTACTCTGTGGGAAGAACATAGAAACTATGTAGAGATTCCAGTTTGTACATGTGGTCGATGTGAATGTGATGCAGCTGCTAAATGGGAACGTTTGCAACAGAGAAGTCGTGTAACTAAATTTCTTATGGGTTTGAATGAAGGATTTGATCAAACCAGACGCCATATATTGATGCTTAAGCCTATTCCTACAATTGAGGAAGCTTTCAACATTGTTACACAAGATGAAAGGCAGAAGAATGAGAAACCACCTACTAAGATTGATAATGTTGCCTTCCAGAATGTTGCTCCCATGATGAATGATGCTAATAATGCTTACATTGCAGCTTATAACACTGTCAGACCAAATCAGAAGCCAGTGTGTTCTCACTGTGGGAAAGTAGGACATACAGTTCAAAAGTGTTTCAAGATACTTGGATATCCACCTGGTTATAAAGCAGGGGCTATAGGTTATACTTACAGAGGTAATACTCCTTTACAGCCTCGGATGCAGATGATGCAAGTTCAACCTAGAATGATGCCACAATCTCAGATGCAGATGATGCCTTATGCTAACTCTATGCAAAAGGCTAATGCAGTGGCTCATGTGTATACTGAGAATGGTTATAATCCATCAGATGGATACTTGCAAATGCCGATGTCAATGAATGGTTCTTATGGTACTTTGGTTCCTCAATATGCCCCACCGGTTATCCAAGATGGAAATACTCAGAATCTTCAAGACTATAGTCCTCAGCAAATTGGACAAATGGTTTCACAATTTCAAGCTCAAGTTCAAGTTTCAGAGCCTGTAACTTCTTCAAGCACACCTAGTCCTATTGCAAATATTACAGAACATGGTTTAATGGCTCATACATCAACTTCTGGTACTGAATTTCTTTTCCCTTCCACTAGTCTAAAATTTGAAAACAATAATCTTACTTTTCAGAATCATATTCTTTCTTCTTTACAAAAATTTCTTCCACATGATGCTTGGATTATAGACAGTGGAGCTTCTAGTCATGTATGTTCAAATCTAGCCATGTTTAGAGAATTAAAACCAGTCTCAGGTGTTACTGTCACACTTCCAAATGGTACTAGGGTTTCAATTACTCATACAGGCACTGTTTGCATTACTAAAACTCTTACTTTACATAATGTTTTACATGTTCCGGATTTTAAATTTAATTTGATTAGTATAAGTTCTTTAGTAAAAACATTATCTTGTTCTGCACATTTTTATGTTGATTGTTGTTTGATTCAGGAACATTCTCAGGGCTTGATGATTGGGAGGGGTAGAATATATCACAACTTATACATTCTTGAGACAGAGAATACTTCCCTCTCTACATCAACTCCTGCTGCTTGTTCTTTCTCTGGATCTGTCATAAGTGGAAACATTTGGCATCAAAGATTAGGACATCCATCATCTATTGTCTTACAGAAACTTGTTAGTGTCATTCCTTCTCTTAAGTCTTTTAATTCAGAAAATTCTTGTTCTATATGTCCTTTAGCAAAACAAAAGAGATTAGCTTATATTTCTCATAACAATTTAGCCTCAAAACCATTTGATCTTGTTCATTTGGATATATGGGGTCCTTTTCATGTTGAATCTGTTGAAGGCTTTAGATATTTTCTTACTTTAGTAGATGATTGTACAAGAACCACTTGGATTTATATGCTAAGAAATAAAAAGGATGTTTCAACTGTATTTCCTGTTTTTGTTAAACTTGTTTCAACTCAATTCAATACAAAAATAAAATCTATAAGATCTGATAATGCCCCTGAGCTTGCTTTTACTGAATTAGTTAAAGAACAAGGCATGATGCATTATTTTTCTTGTGCTTATACTCCCCAACAGAACTCTGTTGTTGAGAGAAAGCATCAGCATCTTTTAAATGTTGCAAGATCTTTGCTTTTTCAGTCTAATGTGCCTCTTCAATATTGGAGTGATTGTGTGTTTACAGCCGTTTTCTTAATCAATCGCTTACCATCACCATTGCTTAAGAATAAATCGCCTTATGAACTATTACTTGGCAAATTACCTGATTACTCACTTTTAAAGAATTTTGGTTGCTTATGTTTTGTTTCGACTAATCAAAATGAACGAACCAAATTCTCACCTAGAGCAAGACCATGTGTTTTCCTAGGATACCCTGCAGGTTTTAAAGGATATAAGGTGTTAGATTTAGAAAATCATTCTGTTTCAGTTTCTAGAAATGTGATTTTTCAAGAACAGACATTTCCTTTTAAAACTAGTGACTTGTTGCATAAAGCAGTAGACATGTTTCCTAATACAATCTTGCCTTTACCTGCACCATTGCATTTTGTTGAAACTATGCCATTAATAGATGAGGATTCTCTTATTGATTCTACTGCATCAACATCTGCATCATGTCCTAGTACCATACCATCTACTAGTAACACAGAGACACTTGATACTGATCTTAATTCTATACCTATGGCTAGGTCTAAACGCACTACTAGAGCTCCTAGTTATTTGTCTGAGTATCATTGTTCTCTTGTTCCCTTTATTTCTTCTTTACCACCAACAGAAACACCTACTTCATCACTTAAACAGCCTGCACCATCTCCCATTCCTTCATCACCTAAAAAGACTACACCTTACCCCATTGCTTCAGTCATTTCTTATGACAAATATACACCTCTTTTTCAGTCTTATATCTGTGCTTATGATATAGAGACAGAGCCAAAAACGTTTAAACAGGCCATGAAATCAGAAAAATGGACAAAGGCAGCTAATGAAGAGTTACATGCTCTTGAACTTAACAAGACATGGGTTGTTGAATCATTACCGCCAGGCAAGAATGTGGTGGGTTGTAAATGGGTGTTCACCATTAAATACAATCCTGATGGAACAGTGGAGAGATACAAAGCACGCTTGGTAGCACAGGGATTCACTCAACAAGAGGGCATTGATTTTCTTGATACTTTTTCCCCTGTTGCTAAGCTGACAAGTGTGAAATTTTTGCTTGGTCTTGCTGCGATTAAGGGTTGGAGCTTAACTCAGATGGACGTGTCAAATGCATTTCTTCATGGTGAATTGGATGAAGAAATCTTTATGAGTCTACCTCAGGGATATACTCCTCAGAATTCTGATTTGCCTCCTAATCCGGTTTGTCGACTCCTGAAATCTCTTTATGGTTTAAAACAAGCTTCACGTCAATGGTATAAGAGATTGTCTTCAGTGCTATTAGGTGCAAATTATATACAGTCACCTGCTGACAATACTCTCTTTGTCAAAGCTTCTCCTGGTTCATTTGTGGCTGTATTGGTCTATGTGGATGATCTTATGATAGCCAGTGATAATGATGAATCAGTGGAACAATTAAAGGCATTGTTGAGATCAGAATTCAAGATTAAGGATTTAGGTCCTGCAAGATTCTTCCTAGGCTTGGAAATATCAAGATCATCAAAAGGAATATCAGTCTGTCAAAGGAAGTATGCTCAGAATTTGCTAGAAGATGCTGGTTTACTTGGTTGTAAACCAAGTTCTATTCCCATGGATCCTTCTTTACACCTGACTAAGGATATGGGAGTACCATTGTCAAATCCAACTTCATATCGTGAGCTAGTTGGACGTTTATTGTATCTTACAATAACACGACCAGACATTACCTTTGCAGTGCATCAGTTGAGCCAATTTATTTCAGCTCCTTCTGACATTCATCTTCAAGCTGCACACAAGGTGCTCAGGTACATCAAATCAAATCCAGGACAGGGATTAATGTACTCTGCTGACTCAGAACTCTGTTTGAATGCATTCTCGGATGCTGATTGGGCTGCTTGCAAGGATACTAGAAGATCAGTCTCAGGGTTTTGTGTTTATATTGGTACATCTTTGGTTTCATGGAAATCAAAGAAACAATCTGTTGCAAGTCGCAGTAGCACTGAATCAGAATATAGGAGTATGGCTCAAGCCACTTGTGAGATCATTTGGCTGCAACAGTTGCTTAAGGATCTACACATCACTGTAAGTTGTCCTGCGAAACTCTTCTGTGACAATAAATCGGCATTGCATATTTCTATGAATCCGGTTTTCCACGAGAGAACAAAACACATAGAGATAGACTGTCACACGGTGAGGGATCAGATCAAAGCAGGAAACTTGAAGGCTCTACATGTACCTACAGAGAACCAGCATGCAGACATCTTGACTAAAGCTCTGTATCCAGGACCTTTCCATCACTTGCTTCAACAGATGTCTTTGTCAAGTCTTTATCTTCCAAACCAGACAATTTCGAAGATCAAGACTTGAGAGGGGCGTATTAGAGTGATATGGACCGGTTATTGCTGGTTTACTTTGGTTATCTACATCTCGGTTTAATGTTAAAACACTATATAAGCTTAATTCATCATTAGTGTATAGTTTAAGCTTTGTAACAACATTTTTGGTTAATAATGAAAGTTTGTTAAGAATCCGTTAAGCTCTTCTTCATTCTTGTGATTCCGATGATCGGAATTCAATATTAATATTTCTATCAAACCAAACCGAATCATAAACCAAGTTGCTCACCTCTATAGATTCGTATCAAACAATATCGAAGTTTGAATGCAAGTCTAACCGAATGTTTTTACTACACAATTTAAATGTGCACCGATCGATACTTACGAAGATGTTCCAAACAATTGTTCTCAAAACGTTAGGAGTCTAACCTAAAGTAGATGTATCATGTGCCATCTTTTCCCAACCGTGATGTTTCTCTAGAAAATTCATTTTTACAGAACAATCAAAAGATACATGTAAACATCAAAAGATTTATTAGTTAAGAAAACAACCACCTAATTTTTATATGTAGAAACTTGTTGTAATGGGCATAACCAATAGAACAATAAATAATTAAAAATGAATTCATCATCACTATATATATTCAACATTCGCTTACATACATTCTGTCCAAATTAGAGAATAAGTAACTCAAGAAAGAGTGAAATCAACACCAAAGACGATGATGATCCTAAGGCTGGCTCTAGCCGTCGTCATCTCCGCCTACGCAACCGCACAACCAGCCTCAACGTCGTCGCTTGTAACCTATATATTCGGCGACTCGCTAACTGAAGTTGGTAACAACAATTATTTACAATATTCGCTAGCAAGAGCAGACTTTCCATATTATGGTGTTGATTTCTCCGGCGGTAAAGCTACCGGAAGATTCACCAACGGTCGGACTATCGGCGATATCATATGTACATTATCTCTCTCTCTTTCTCCTTTTACCTATGTGCTTCTAAATATTTGTCCACATGCATTTTCATGTATATACATGTAGACACGACATTCATTTTTCTTCTACTTCTGCTCGTGTTTTTGTGACACACACACATATACATATAACATATTAAAAATAAGGTTTGATTTTGGTTTTGTTTGTTCGAATATATATGATTGTTATTGTTTAGTTTTTAGACTCACTATAGTTATGGTTTTTAATATTTGTACTTTATAAAGATATAATCTAAAACTTCACAAACATTTATCTGTTTATTATAGCTACGAAGCTTGGGATTCCATCGCCACCACCATATCTATCGTTATCACAAAACGACGATGCATTTCTCAGCGGAATAAACTACGCATCCGGAGGAGCTGGGATTCTCAATGAAACTGGCATTTACTTCGTATTACTTCTCCTTTAATTTCTATATAAGAATTTAAATTTCTTAAGAATTTTAAAATTAATCATATATAGTGTCACTTTGATGGAGCAGATCCAAAGGCTGACGTTCAATGATCAAATAAATTGTTTCAAGAAAACTAAAGAAGTTATTAGGGCGAAAATTGGAGATGGAGCTGCGAACAAGCATGTTAATGATGCCATGTACTTCATTGGTTTGGGTATAACATAACTTGGCTTTATCTATAGTTTCTTATTTCTTTTTGTTTCATTTTCTAAAAAAGTATTATTAATATAATTACTTTTTCTCATTTTTAATAGGAAGCAACGATTATGTAAACAATTTCTTGCAGCCATTTATGGCAGATGGGCAACAATATACACATGACGAGTTTATCGAACTCTTGAGCTCAACCCTAGACAATCAGCTTACGGTATATTATTCCAACCAACTTCTAATTTTCTTTTTCTTTTGTTTTCTAAATCAGAAATATCAAAAGAGAGAGATTCTAGTGAACAAATTGGTTGGTCGTCTGCACTCTTTTTCTTATTTATTTTTTTTCCAGCATTATTATTAAGTTTATTACTATTAAGCTAGCCAATAAACATGCACTACAAGTGTTTGTATGCATGGTTTATGTATCTTTTAAAAACAACTTTTTTGATACTTTTATATCCTATTTTTGTTAGTGAATATTGTGTCGCTTTGAGATATGTATTATTACTATGGTTTCTTTGTAAATGACTACAAATTTCATTTATTTACGTGAAAAAACAAATGATAGTGTAATCTATTAGATTTTTTTTTTGATAAAAAATTAATCATAGTTAATGTTATGTCTTGACGACTAATATTTTTTTCTAGTTTGATAAATCTTAACATTTTATTAGTGGAAGATTTATAAGATTAAAAAAGTTCATAAGCTAATCACATATTATTTTCTCATGATGCATGTACTTTTGAAAATAAAAATAAATAACATTGTATGTTTTCTGATCCGGTTAGATAAATAAATAGTGCTATATTTTTCAAAAGCTGCGCACGTAATACAAAAAAGTAGTTATATTTTTATTACCAAACAAAATTGCAAGGTTAAAGACATTTACTCTATTGAATCCTATATTTGAGCTATTTGTTTAATTATTTTTTTTGATAAGTTATTTGTTTAATTAAACCATGAAATAACTTAAATTTGGTGGAGCAGACAATATACAAATTAGGAGCGAGGAAAGTAATATTTCATGGGCTAGGTCCATTGGGCTGTATCCCATCACAAAGAGTGAAGTCGAAGACAGGCATGTGCCTGAAGCGTGTCAACGAGTGGGTATTGGAATTCAACTCAAGAACGAAGAAGCTTCTTCTAGATCTCAACAAACGCCTTCCCGGAGCTAAATTCGCCTTCGCCGACACTTATCCCGCCGTTCTCGACCTCATCAACAATCCCACTCACTACGGTAAATATAGAAAGAAAAAAAAACTAGCCATTTCTTGGAATCAAAGCGTTTGCATTTGCGTTAGGGGTGTTCATATCGGATATCCAAACATACCATAACGAGTAGAAAACATATAGTTTTAAATTCTACTTATAGTACATTGAACAAAATATGGTAGAAGAGATTCATGAAATCGGTCGGGTTTGATTAGTTTCAGTATCTAAATCATGAACTAAAGTCTCAATAATTCGGATAAACTAGGTCAAACTCAAGGTCGGCTATTTCGAATAAGTTGGTAAATGTTAGTGATTTTGGAATATTTACAATAATTTGAAAATATAACTTACTCAAACGTGGTTTTATTTTATATACTTAATATGTTTTGTATCCGTTAGGATAAATTACATATAATTTGAATAGGTAATTATTTCAAGTGATACAAACATAGTAGAAAAGAAGTTTGGGATGTCTCACAATATATAATTTGGTTTGCATTCTGACTTTTTGTTTGTTTTTTAAAATCCTATTTTGTAGTTTGTTCGATAACACATTTGTGATTTTACAATAAACCGCAGGGTTTAAGATATCAAACACGTCGTGTTGCAATGTGGATACAAGTGTTGGAGGTCTTTGTCTTCCCAATTCTAAGATGTGTAAAAATCGTGAAGACTTTGTCTTCTGGGACGCATTTCATCCGTCCGATTTGGCTAATCAAATCCTAGCCGATCATCTTTTCTCCTCTCTTCTTTCTTCCTCTTCTCCTTCTCCTGCTCCTAAACCACGTCATTAGTATAGTATTTACAAAAATAATATTAAACCAATTTCTTGTTAAATTGGTCCTACTTGTTAGATACATGCGTAATTAATTTTCTGTTCTTGATGTAACCATGCATCATGACAAATATGTGTGTCTTGTTACGCAAGTATTATTGATTCTGAGATAATTATGGTTTTGTATGTATCGTGAAAACATATATTGTTATATCCTTGTTTTAGGGTTCCTAAACATGCGTAATAAATAAATAAGTTAAATGAAAAAATTCGTCATGCAAACAATCTTGGTTATGTAACCTTGTAAAAGTTAATGCTCGAACTCGAGTATTTCTCACTCACTAGTTACACCTTGTTTATTGTTTTTTTTGTAAGGAAACCAAAATGCAGGTTTCTTTTTTGTCATATGAAGTTTTTTTAATACATGCACTAAGGAAAGATACATTTTGAAATATTACAAGAGCCAACGGAAAAATAAGAAATTCTTGAAAACATAGCCCGAAAGAAGGAGACATAAGCCGAAAAGAGGGAAACAAAACTTTAAAAGTAAGAGGAAACAAACAAAAAGAATTTAAAAAAAAAAATAGATCTTACACCAAATAGCTCTTAACCTCTAAAACTGCCAGATGAACCATGAAAACTCCCACGAACCTTCACATCTAACCCTTAGACGCTAGACGGCTAGAGCTGCACCAAAGAACCAGACCCTTGTGAAGAAACCAACCAGACAAACAAAAATGGAAACCAAAATATAGTAATTAGGCATAAATATGCATTTTATCATAATTATGTATAAATATGATAACTGATTTAACATGAATTTATTATGATATTATACTAGTTAACATGTTATTTTTTTTTTCTCATACTAGTTTACATGTTAATCAAATAGTTATCTACACAAATATATACTAATATGTAACTCTTTATTTTGTTGTATATGATATAATAAATAAGTTAACATGATAAATTCATATTTATCACGATACAATATGATCTAACACGTTATATTTATAAATTTATGATATATAAATATATATATATATATATATATATATATATATATATATATTGTTATCATATTAACCTAATAGATAATCATGTAACTCATAATAGAACTTCATAATATGTCTTACCCTATTTGATGAACAATATTGTGAGAATGAAAAAAAAAATCGAGAATTTTTTTGTTATATTGCTAAACAATATGTTATATACGGAAGGACATTTTATCCAACTTTTACAAGTTGATGAGAGAGATAACTAATAATACAAAAACTATAGGTATATTCTTATTTTTTTTTAGTTTTATAGATATATAAATTAATATAGCTGAATTATAAATCCTTAAAAATCATTTTTATTGTTTGTGTTTTTGGACTAAAAAGTTTATAGTGGTATCTTTTTTTTTTTTTTTAATGATGGGACTTATGGAACAAAAACCTAGTTTAGTGGTATTTTGGTTTAAATTTTAGTTTAGTACCAACTTATTTAATATATTTCAAAAAACTATATAAACTTTTATCGTTATTAAAAAATATATATAAACTAATTTATCGATCCAATATAATTCACGATATACTTTTGGTTTCCGATTTTTATCTTTCGTTTTAACATCAGTCAACGGCGTGAATGGAATCATCAAACGCGGTTACCTATCTTTAAAAACATTTTCTTAAAAATATCCAACTTATTTATTTAGAATACTACATGAACTTTTGTTTTTGTGAGAAAAATACACAAACTAATTTACTGATTCAATATAATTCACAACATACATTTTTGCTTCTGATTTACCCTTCCGATTTAAACGGAAAAAATTATATAGTTTTTTTGGTAAATATTAAAATAAATTGAATATTTTTAAGGATTTTTTTTTATTATTTGTCTTGTGACTTGTGAGAGACAAATCAAATTGTTTTCTGGAGAAAGTTTGTTAATTCTTGTTTGAAAGAAAAAAAAAAACAACAACAACAACAAAGGATGGGAAAAAAAAAAGAATTATGACATCTAAAATTCTAAAAGCAACAATAGCGTGACACAAGATTGAAGAGACACCGTTTTCACAAACTGACAAATTCTATTACCTTAGGCTAAGTAAGGTCCAGATTCTTCCTTGTTCCTCTTCTTTCTGCTTCTCTCATTCCCATTAAGCAAATACAAGAATCGAACTAGGAGGGCTACGATTATTTCGATTTTGAATCTCCAAATCCAGGATTCGAGTGTTAACTCTTCGAAAAGATCAAATCTTTGGAGATGGGTCTTTGGGATTCACTTCTTAATTGGCTCAGGAGGTAAAGATTTCTTCTTTTATCAGTTGTATAAAAAACCAGTCTTTTTGTTATTCCATTGAACTAGTTTATAGTTATGGTTCTGGGTTTAGTTAAAACGTTGCCAAAAACCAAATTTTCTCACAAAAGAGTTAACAAAATGGTGTCACTTGTTGTGTTTCAAAATCTCAAACTTGTCTTGAGTTTCTTAGGATGTATCCTTTATTGTTACATTATATGATTTGGTTCATTGAGAAATCTACTGTTATTTATATGTTCTTGTGTGTTAATTCTCTTTAGTTGATTGATGTTAATTCATTTGTAGTAGTGATGCTTTGTGTCATGTTATTATGCACTACCAGGACTTGGTAAACAGAAAATTGTTCAATAATTGAATTGTGGAAACAGAGGATAATTATAGAATGATTATTAATGTTTTGTTGTTTTTAGTTATGGTTTTTAGTTGGTTATACTTATGTTTTTAGTGCATAGCAGAATCACGTTTTGGAAACATTAGATTTTGATTCTGTGTTTGTTTATATTTGTTGTGTCAGCTTGTTCTTCAAACAAGAGATGGAGCTGTCACTCGTTGGACTTCAAAATGCTGGGAAGACTTCTCTTGTCAATGCCATTGCTGTGAGTAGAATCTTCAGAGGTTTTAGTCGATAAATAGTATTATCGGACAAATCAAACTTACGCGTTTCACTTCTTGCTTGCTGTGGATTTTTCAAGACTGGAGGTTACAGTGAAGATATGATACCAACTGTAGGATTTAACATGAGGAAAGTTACAAAAGGAAACGTTACAATAAAGATTTGGGATCTTGGAGGGCAACGAAGGTTTCGTACCATGTGGGAGCGTTATTGTCGTGGAGTTTCTGCCATTGTGTATATACTTTTAAACTTTTTTGATATCTTTGAAGATCCCTTGTTATTATTGGTAAACAAATCTTGATGGTACTATTGCAGATATGTGATTGATGCTGCAGATCGAGATAGTGTACCGATATCAAGAAGCGAATTGAATGATCTGTTAACAAAACCGTCTTTAAATGGAATTCCTCTTCTGATTCTCGGCAACAAAATCGATAAGTCCGAAGCTCTCTCTAAGCAAGCTTTGGTTGATCAACTGTAAGTTTCTTGTTCAAGTCCATTGAAACCAATCTGAATTCAAGTATATGACTTGGATTGTTTTTATGCAGAGGGCTTGAATCCGTAGCAGACAGAGAGGTTTGCTGTTACATGATCTCGTGTAAGGACTCGATAAACATTGATGCGGTCATCGATTGGCTCATTAAGCACTCGAGAACCGCTACATAGACAAACACAACAAGCTCATCGGTCCAGAGGAAAACAAAGCTTGTTTTGGTTTCTTGATGTTGTTTTATTTGTTGAGAATCAATCAGATGTAAATCATCAGCTTTTGGTTTCTTCTTGGTTTAAATCTTGTTTTACAATTCTTCAATGTTCAAATACTTTTGGTTTAAGAAGTACAGAGTCCAATTTAATTCGGTTCATAAAAGTTAGAACCCGGTTCAATCCGGTTAAATTCAGAGCTTCCTGGTGATGCAAATCCATCAGCAATCTTGGTTTCGTTTTGGTAAACATAATTGTTTAATTTATTAAGTACACAGTGCAATTTTACTCGGCTCATGAAAATCAGAAACCGGTTTAAGCCGGTTAGAGTCGGATATTTTGGGTGATGTTAAATCTTCAACTTTGTCGGTTCTTGCTCATCTTATTATATAATCTTGTCACAATTCTTAAAACCTTTCCGAAATATTACAAACTTTATTGGATTTATGAAGTACACAAGTCCAATTTTTATTCATCTTAAGAAAACCAAAACCCGGTTTATTTCGGTTAAGACATCAAAGCTTGCTAGTAATATTAACATTCCTAACTTTAGACGATTTCGATGACGTGTCCTTAGGAACAACAACAGTAAGAACACCATTCTCCACGTAAGCTTTAACTTGGTCGACTTTCACATTCTCCGGCAACTCAATCCGCCGCAAAAACTCACCTCCACCGGAAAAAGCTTCTCTCTCCGCCACATGCCACACCAAATTCTCTTTCTTCTCTTCCTTTATTCCTTCTCCTCTTATACTCAAAACATTCCCTTCTTCAATCTGCACTTTTATGTCTTCTTTGTTGTAACCAGGAACATTGATCTTGAAGATATGAGAGTTGTTTGATTCCATCCAATCAATCAGAGCCGTTGATCTTGACCATTCTTGGAATCTTCTAAATGGATACAAGAATATTCCTCTGTCTGCCATATTCGTCAATCTTTTCCCCTTTAGCTAAAGTTGTTTACTAGAGATGTATATATTTTTGAGTGGGAAGTATTTTGTAGAGAAGTCGAGACAGTTCTTCGTTATCTTGTTTCGTCATTTTTCTGACTCCAGAACATTGGAGAAGACGAAAGGGTTATTTACGAGTGTTATTTACCGTTGGATGAGATTCTAGGATTTACGAGTGTTATTGGGGCCTTTTTAAAACACCAGTTATTAGGCCTTTATCTTGATATCCATTTTGGTATCTTGGCCTTTTTTAAAAATGCGTAGAAAATCATCATCTTTTCTAAAAAATACATACAAAACTCTCTTATATTTGTATGGACTTTTAAACTCCCCCTTCTAATAAAGGCTATATGTTTTTTTTTTCTAGAGTATTCAATTTTTTTTTTATAAATTAGTTTTTTTTACTATATAAAATGTATTCAATATTTAGTTGAGACGAGACAAATCAGTTTCGTTACTATTAATAATTATGTCATATAAACTATTTATAAGATAACACATTCTTGTTTGTTCGAATTTTTCAAGTTTTGATTTAAGAAATGGTCAAAATTACCAATCAAACATTGATAGAGCTTTACATGGTCTAATCAACATTAAAATAAAATATTCAAAAATTTTAAAAAAATCAATCGACATAATGGAAAAAGCGTCATCGGTGGTGATGATAAGGAACAAATCGTGGGCATTGATAGAGCTTTACGTCTTGAGAGATTTGAGGAGGTCTATATGCATTCTCTCGAATAAATGGTAGATCAAAGATTTCAAGCAAAACAATCCACCTTAGCAATCAATGTTAATTTAGTTAAACCGAATAAGGAAAGTTTCTTTATATTGGATTTTTCTTTGCTTCCTTTTGATAGTTCGACCAAAGTATTTTGTAAGCTTGTTTGAAATATCTAATTTAAATGATCCAAGTTGGATGGATGATTCTCATTCCTCGTTTGGCTCGTCAACGAGTCTATCAACAAGTCCATCAACGAGTCTATCATCAAGTACATCAACTAGTCCATAGCAAATGCGATATCTACATCACAAGAAAATCATAGTATATTTCTTCTTTGAACTAGATAATTAATTTGGCCGGTAATTAAAGGTCTAACTGGTAGAAGAAGATAAGAAATATTTTTCTCCTACTACTTTCTGGACCCATAATTTTAACTTTTTTTTTTTTTTTAATGTTTTTTTCTTAGCAGAAAACTTGCCTATGCTCAGGGTGTGATTGGTTACCTTTAATAAAAGAAATGAAAAAAGAAGAATTTTTTGAAAAAATCAAAAGAAAATTATATCTTGTGAAAATATCAAAAAGTAACTAAATCAGAAGAATTCTTCCATCCTCAAAACTAGTAGAATTCATTTTTCTTTCTGATGTGACATTTTTTCTTCTATTTTTCTTTTCATTTCTTCTGCTCTCTTAACCAGTCAGAGCCTTAGTGTTAGAAGTAAAAATACTTTGAGTTTTTTCCACATTTTTTCTTTTCTATTTAAACCAGTTAGACCCTAAATGTACATTTTCCAGTTTTTTTTTTCATCAATGTACATTTTCCAGTTTGGTCTTGTTTTAGACAAATTTGTTTTAGACAATTGAGTTAGAGCAAGCCTATTGATTTGGTTAAGATACTCATGACTCATGAGTATCTTAACCATTAAATGTCAATATTTTTAAAAGGTTTTAGTTATTTTATTAACTTTAAACTTATTTGGAAAATTAAACTAATAATAACTAAATGACATGTGTATATTAAACTAAGAATCCCTCCCACTTTCTCTCTCTTATATATATTTTTTCGTATTATTATAATTTTAATGGAGATATGAGATGCTCTTAGAGCATCACCAACGCTCGTCTCTCTATTTCAGTTTCTCATATATGTGTGAACACAACTTTTTAATGTGAACATAAATAAATTCATATTTTATTAATAAATATTTTAGTTAGACTAATTATAGTAGGACATCTGTGAGAAACGTTTTTTAAAGTCTCTCAAAAGAGCGACGACTCTCTCCCTCTCTCCTCTTTTTCCTATTTTTTTCTTTATTTTAATAAAGAGAGACGATGCAAAACATACCCGTTGGAGATGGCCTTAGTACAGAACAAAATGAAGAATAACAATTTGACAAAGAACGGTCCACTCCTAGTTATGGTTAGTCATGAACTCATGGCCGGTCTAGTACTGATAATTAATAAACTGAAATGTCGTTTCTAATGTTAGAAAAAATATGCAATGCTTTCTCTTTAAAGTGAAGGTAACATTTGAGAAGAATATTATAAAATTTTGTATCTTTTGAAGAGAATATATGCCATTTGACAAATAAAGATCGACATAAACTTTTGCTTTTAGACCTCTCTCTTTTGCTATGCCCTTTTACTTTGTTGCTTTAGTAATCTTGTTCCGGATATGCATAAAGCCTATATAATTCATTTCTTAAGACTTCCTTTTCATATTTCCTTTTCATTTAAAATAATTATTATCACAAGTATTATGTAACAACAATCGAAACAAAATAATTAAAATTAATCTGAAAAAGTAGAAAAATAAAAAAGAAATAAAGTTTTGACAGAATCCAAAGCGATATACATCTCATCTGGAATTTTTGCTTCTTTGAGATCCACGCTCTTGCGAATCCTCAGAACTTTGACATTTATTTACCTGAAAAATTTATATTTATATACATATTAATTGCTAAAAACACTTTGAATATCCTAATAATCACCTAATTGTAAAATACACGTGCAAGCATATTACATATAACAATTCATTATTATCAGATTGACTACTACGTACCTTTATCATAAGGCATATATTTTTGTGTGTGTTTTCCATATATTATGAAAGAAATTAAATAAAATTAAAAATTAAAAAATATGTTAGAAATAGAAATCACCTCCGCGACTGCAAACACCTCTGAGGAAAAGAAGGAAGATGATTAGAAGAACAACCGCAGCTAGTAGTCCTATGATGATCGCGAATGTCCTTTCTCCACCGTAGTTTGTTTTATCTATTTATTCAATAATATTGAATCAAAAATATATATTATAATTAGTTTCCATTTCATTTTAGATAAAATAAAAATAACAAAATACTCCAAACATATAATTTTGGGTTCATGTTGTCATTTTCTTGCAAAGATATATATAGATTTGTAACAGAATTTCGTTAATTCCAAAAATATCAAAATTTTGAGCTTTTAAAAAAAATATACAAACTTTTGGTTTAGCAAGGATTCATAAAAATCTGCTTAAGTTTCTATTAATAGATTTACTATACTATTCCTAACTAAATTTTTTGGAAACTTTTCTAGGTATAACTTTGAGGGTTTTAATTATAATGATTTTTGGATTTTGAATTATGAAAAACAATACATATTTTTTTTTTACTTTTGAGAGTTGTCCTACTAATAATAGTAAGTAGATAAAACTTACAACTATGAGACTTGGCATAGTGTTGTGCACCATCAGTGGAATATCTTGCGTAACACTTAGCCAAGAACATGTCTCCGAAGACGGCCGTGCCACAATCATTCTTAAGCCGTCCGATGGCCGTTCCTAAACAATCTTGGCACTCTGACACCGTTAGATCTCCTACACACTGTCCCATACCTTGAACATCACCGGACCCTCCCGCTCGAAAATACCCTCCACCGTTGACTAGCTCAGTGAGAACGGCGTCCCTCCGGCTGATACCGTCGGTGTTATAACCCTCAGAGGGTCCACATTTCTTAAGGACAACGGTCTTGTCTTCTTGGCCAAGGAAGCTGATGTTATCGTACTTGATGTAGCAGCCAGCTAGTTGGAGGGCTCCACCACAAGTGAAAGGGCAAAGAGGACCTACTTGAGAGACGGCACGTACCACACACGTGGCACAGTCCGGCATGGAGAGGTCGCCGCGGCATTGGAAGAGGCCACGGGCTGTGTCGGTGGAGGAAGAGCCCATGATGGTGAAGTTGTTGTAGGAAGAGTATGTGGCTGAGTTAACTAGAGAAGTGAGAAGAGAGTTGAGGTTTGACTCATAAGCAGACGCCGGAGAGAATTTTTGCTGGGAGCAGCCGCCGAAGACGAAGGTGTCTGTAGCGGAGGTGGCGGAGGAGAGTGAAGGAGCGGTTGCGGCGAGGAGAAAGAAGAAGAAGGAGAGAGTTTTGATGATGTTCCTAATTAGTTTTGCCATTGGCATTAATGGAAAAGGAGAGAAAGACATTAGCAATGAAAATGGATACCTATTTATACATTTTAATTTATTAACGTTTACTTAATAGGTTATAACGAGGAATGATGAAAATATCATTTTTAAATTTTACAATTAATCTATACTTCTATACATTATACATTCAGTATCATGTGGATGGCTAAGTTTTTAATAAAGTACGCAGCCATGCAAATATGTAGCACAAGTTTTCCATTTCTTAAAATTAATATTAGGGGGGAAAATGAATTATTTTATTCCACTTAATTTGCAGTAGTTATCATGATTTTGTGCTTACTGTTTTTTTTGTTTTTCTTATATTATAGAACTACGTATAAATTCTTGATTATGTATTGTTTCAAATATATCTGCAATTGGAGATCTAGTTAAAGATCAAGTCAAGTTTTAGACTGTTTATGAATAAATATGGGTGTTTACTTTATTTTTCGTGATTATTTGTGTATTTATATGTAATTTTAAGTTGTGATTGAACTTTTAGTTGAACTGCTTATTTTTCATTTATGGTTTAGTATTCTAATTTTTTGTTGTAATTAACTTACATTTTTGCCGGCAAAAAAGGTTAAGTTCTACGTTATTAGCAAAGTTGTAACCTAAGATAACAGAAAAATTCACAACTTCAAAAAGTCCTACACTCTAACAACAATCTTCACATTTTAATAAAATTATATGAATTGGTTTTTCCCACAACAAAATAATTTTAAATTGAAAAGATTTTATAATATAAAGAATGTCAAATTGGAAAGCTGAATATTCATTTCCTTTTTTCACAAATAATTCTCAAAGGGAGGATGGTAGATGGGTGATCCCGTGAGAGCTTTACTTTTAGTGTTCATATTTATTTTATATATTCTTAAAGAAGAAAACTTTTTCGAACGAAGACATATCTCTCCAACTGTACCATCGCACTCATCGAGTTTTCCATTTCTTCTTTTTAGGATATTCATTGCTTGCTCTCGAAGGAATTCTCGTACCATGATCCATGAACTTCATTTAAACTTATTTTAGTTCTTTATTTTAAAAGTTAAAGAGAGTTTTGTACTATAGTTAACATATGAAAAATTCATAACTAATACATTTCAGCGCATATAGGATATATATACCGTATATACCCATAAAGTTTGTTAATTTATTGTTTGTTTGTTTTGATGTTGGTGAATATGTTAAAATTGAAAATATTTGATTCTGGTTATCTCTCATTTGGTAACATTGGATGAATTTTTTACAATTATTACACAAACAGGATTTTAAATTAGTTATATTATCGGTTGGGAATGATTTATTTTCTATTTTCAAAAATTAACAAACCAGAACGATATTTCTACGATAGAGCCATCTATGTTCAAGTTCCTAGTGGAGAGAAGACTCACAAAGTGAGTGTTTCACTTGTGAATCTTGATGTGTCTCGTTTATATCTTTTTTTGTAGTTTACCTTCATTCGCATTTGTGTCTTTTTTGTTTTCCTTAGGAGTTTTTTATAACTTGTGAATAATTTAAGAAAAATTTAGAGGAGACTGTTTTTCGAAAGTCAAGGAAATACACTCTTTGAGACAATGCTTTGTCAATCGAATATTAGAAAATTTGATCCTCAAAATGTCAGGAATCAGGATCTATGGAATGTTATAGTAATATCCAACATGGACTCATTTTTGGGTCTGCACCAGGATCTAGGTTAAATTAGATTTGGTCTGGGAGAACCAATCATAACCAAAAGTTATTTTCTTGCATGACAAATAGATGAGGTGTGCTAGACGAAGGGGCGTCGGGTGGCCAGTATGTCGCTTTCATACTTTTGCATTCAATACATCACATATTGGTTCTATCTGTACATTGATGTAACGTTTTCGTCCACATTATAGGCTTGAATGGATAGCGGAAGAAAAGCGGTCGGTCTGTGGGATAGGATGAAACGCATATTACTTTCCCATTCACAAATACTAATTGAACCACAAGTGGTTCTTATCTTATAATAATAAAAAATTATTGAACCGTTTGTGGTTCAAAAGTATGAACAAAATTTGTTATCTGCACTATATAGTAAAATCGCTTCATAATAGATGAGTTTAGCGTGTGATACTCATTTTTTCTTTTAAAATATTAAAATAACTAGGTTATAAACTCCGCGATGTTGCGGGGAAACTCATTTTCAACAAATATATTTGATTGTGTTTATGTATTAAATTATTATGACAATATATTCAAATATATGAATTATTACATAAAATTAACTATGTTTTAAAGTTATATCGTAAATATTTTCTAAAGATGTTAAAACAATTTATGAATAAAAATGTAAAAAAAGAAGAATTATGACTAAAAACACTTTTGAAACATTTTTTATGAATGTAAAATTATTTATAAGTGATAAAATACATAACGGAGAGTTATAATATAGAGATGAGAAATTATAGCTGGTTAAAACCCAAAAATTTGGATGAAGTCGGTACTCATAATGACTAGTGGGTGACTAAGAACTTCGTCCGAGAATTGATATTTTTTGTTTGTCCACTGTTCTTTGATGACGCAAATTACATCTATAACAAAAGAAATAAACATTTATAAGATCTCACAAATTTATATTTATATTGATAAATTAACGGAAGAAAAAGAACTTCTTCCTTGAATATTCATGTGACGAGTTAGAATCATTTTTTTTCTTCTAATAATGTAGATGATTCTGGATTACTATACCATTTGACGCTTACCACATTTAAAATGCCCAATCACAAACGTCACATGAGGATGTCTTCTCATATTCGGACTTTGTAATAGTGTTACGCAACATCAATATTTCCTTGTATACAACCCATATATATTTCCTTAAGATAGAAAACATCATTGTTACCATATAAAATAGATAAATAAAAAAATTATTATATAATCCGTCCAATTTTAAGAAAAAAATTGTTGGTACCTTCATTAGAATTTTATATGTAAAGTTGATTAAAACTTCTCCATTTTTATAATCATTCCAAAAAACTTTTAGTTAGATCAAGAATGAGAAAAAATTCTTTAATATTAAAATGTATATTTAGAAATAGTTTAGAGAATAAAGAATTTGAAGCTATTTTACTGATTTTTCTTTTGAATTCATCATGAAACAAATAATCTATGTTAAAGAACAAAAATTTGGGAACTATTAGGAAGAAGGACAAATATATAGAGTTTAAAAGTCATAAACATTTAAATAGACAACTATTCATACAAAAAGTTATGACGAAAAAATGCAATGAAATATAGTGAAGAGACGTATTTAAATGAATAGATGCATCATACAACTGTAAAGACACAACCGTAAAGTGAAAAAATACAACTATAATTGAACAAATAGAACTGTCCCAAAAAAATAACCGTCAATATTTTAACGAATAGATGCGATAAAAAGACACAACTTAGAAAAAATAATCGTCAATATTTTAACGAAAAGTTGCAATAAAAAGACACAAACGAAAAAAGTTACCATCAATATTCTAACGGAAAGTTGCGATAAAAAGATACAACTGAATTATAATTGTCAACAAAAAAGTAACCGTAAATATTTTAACAAAGAGTTACAATAAAAAGACACAACCGGAAAAAAATAACCGTCAATATTTTAACGGAAAGTTGCGATAAAAACACACAAACAAAATTAATAACCATCAATATTTTAACAAAAAGTTACTATAAAAAAACACAACCAAAAAAATAACAGTCAACAAAAAAAGTAACTGTCAATATTTTAACGAAAAGTTGCAATAAAAAGACACAAACGAAAAAAAGTAATTGTAATTTTTTAACAGAAAGATGCGATAAAAAGACACAACCAAAAAATAACCGTCAATGAAAAAAGTAACCGCCAATATTTTAAGGAAAAGTTGGGATAAAAAGATACAACCGAGAAAAAAATAACCATCAATATTTTAACAGAATTTTACGATAAAAATACACAACGGAGGAAAAATAACTTTCAATATTTTAACGAAAAATTACGATAAAAAGACACAAACGAAAACAGTAACCGCCAATATTTTATCGGAAAGTTGCGATAAAAAGACCCAACCAAAAATTAACCATCAACAAAAAAAGTAACCGTCAATATTTTAACGAAGAGTTGCGATAAAAAACACAACCGAAAAAATAACCGTCAATATTTTAACGAAAAGTTGCGATAAAAAGACACAAATAAAAAAAGTAACGTCAATATTTTAACGGAAAGTAACGATAAAAAGACACAACCAAAAAAATATCCGTCAACAAAAAAAGTAACCGTCAATATTTTAACGAAGAGTTGCGATAAAAAACACAAAAAAAAAAAAATAACCCTCAATATTTTAACAAAAACTTGCAATAAAAAAACACAACCAAAAAAAATAACTGTCAATATTTTAACGAAGAGTTGCGATTAAAAAAACATAAACGAAAAAAATAACCGTCAATATTTTAACGGAAAATTGCGATAAAAAGACAGAACCGAGAAAAAATAACCGTTGATATTTTTACGGAAAGTTGCGAAAAAAAAACAAAAGAAAAAAGTAACCATCAATATTTTAACGGAAAGTTACAATAAAAAGACACAAACAAAAAAATATCTGTCAACGAAAAAAAGTAACCGTCAATATTTTAACAAGGAGTTGCGATATAAAGACATGACCGAGAAAAAATAACCTTCAATATTTTAACGAAGAATTGCAATAAAAAATACAACCGAGAAAAAATAACAGTCAATATTTTATTGCAAAGTTGCAACAAAAAGACACAACCGAGAAGAAATAACCGTCAATATTTTAACAGAAAATTGCGATTGAAAGACACAAACGAAAAAAGTAACCACCAATATTTTATCGGAAAGTTGCGATAAAAAGACACAACCGAAAAATAACCGTCAAGAAAAAAATAACCGTCAATATTTTAACGAAAAGTTGCGATAAAAAACACAACCGAAAAAATAACCACCATTATTTAAACGGAATGTTGCGATAAAAAAGACGCAACCATTCAGATGTAGAAA